GTATTTGTGGGTGCCTGCATGTGTTACAGGGGAGGTCTCTTGATGAAGAGGAGGCTTGACAATACCAGAGGACTTAGTTCCACAAATGGTCATGATGGTAGATCTGGGGCCTGGGACCAAGTCTCACTTGCAAATTGACTTTGCAGTTTGTGCTGGGTGGTCCATAGGTTGTGTCACTTTGTATGCATTCTTCCCTTCTTTGAACCTCAGTTTCTTGATCTTTAAGAAGGGGTCCACTGTGAATTTCTTGTAGGTTTGGTCGGGTAACATGGGTATGTGGGATGTCTCTGAGCCCTGGCCAGGCATGTGGTAGGACCTCAGTACATACGAACTGAATGATAAGGACCACTGATCACCAACCTAGGCCCCACCTTGATTTTTGGAAACCATCGTGATGTTTCAGAATGAGCCAAGTGATCTGGGGACCCTGAAAACCCTGCCCTGGCTTGTCATTACCCTGCTGAAATTCTTCAGATGTTTCCAGGGCATTTCAAAGAACAAAAATCCGAAGTCCTTTGCGAGCGGGCAGACAGGGGCCGTCACAGTCCGGGAGGGCCTGCCCCCCCCTTAGCTCCCTTGCCCACCCTGCAGGCTCACTGCCTCCACCCACACCAGCTGCTTTCTGCACTTTGAACTTACAGATTGTTGGGCTGGGGGCTTTCCGTATCCCCTACCTGGAACACTCTTCCCCAAATGTTTGCATGGCCAGCATCTTCTTGTTTCATCGGTTTCCACTCAGATGTTACCTCCACCGAGAGGCTTCCCTGACCACTTGCTCTGGGATAGCTTCCTATGGTCACGACACTGTCACATTCGGCCCCTTTCCACTTTCTCTGTGGCTCTTGACAGTGTGTGAAGCTTTCTTGTCGATTTGTTGATTTGTCCTCCTTGCCTGTCTCCACTGCTGAACGTAGGTGCTAGCACCCCATGCATGATCTGGGATTTAGAATCTTATAAGAGGGACCCTCTCTGCCTTACTTATTTAGCAGCGCAGAGTACCTTGTGGCAGGCCATGTTCCAAAAGACTTTATAAATGTTAATGTATTGAATGCTCATTGTCATTACCCCCATTTTACAGATGAGGAAATCAAGGCACAGAGAGACTAGGTAACTTGCCTGAGTCCACGGAGCTTGTCAGGGGCATTGCAGGATTTGAACCCAGCACTCTGGGACTCTTCCTTCGAATCCTACGGCTGTTGAGGGGAAGTCCAGCCTCAACCGTCCCCTGCACAGAGCAGGAATCCCCTTCCCACTTCCTTGACAAAAGGGCCTCCCATCTCCACTAGAGGGAACTCCCCACCAGGACCCCCAGCTTCTTCTTGTCAGATACTTGACGTGGCCAGAAAGATTTTCTCTACAAAGTACTGCACTTTCCCTGTGAATAACATTTGGGGGTGATGTTGGTGTTCTGGATTCCCAGGGCTTTTGACCTTGCGGTCTCAAGACCTCAGTAGCCTTTTTCTCTGCACTGGGTTGTGAGCCCCTTGAAGGGTGGGTAGCCGCGGTGCGTGGTGCTGAATGATGAGTCAGTCAGTGAATGAGTGTGTACAGAGCATGCATCCCGAGCTCCTCTAATCCCAGGAGCTCTGCGCTAGGTGCTGGCTCTGGGGATTGGAGTACTCGGGGAAAGAGGACAGTTCTGTCTCCATGTAGCCCCAAGAAAGTCTGTCTCTGATGATGCTTACGTACCCAATTTCTGGAGGACCATTTGAGATTCAAAGTCACGCACTAATTGGCACTAATTGGAGAGAGGTAGACCTCACAGATTATCCACGCAAACCGCACTTTGTCCACTGGGGGAATAAAGCAGGAAGGGAGAGGGGTAGGACTTGTCTAAGACCATACACACCTTACGGTGCTTTGCCTGGGGGGCTTTCTGCTCCCCATAGTATGTGGGGATCAGAGCAGGAGCAGCCCTCTTGGAGAAGCTCTCCTGTAGTACCGGTCTCCTTACCTCCATAACAGGGGTAGCGTTTCTGGATATATAGGCTATGTGAAGACCCAGTGTCATGCCTGGCACTTGGATGGGGATGAGGAAGTGGGCATGGTGGAGGTGGGTTGGTGGGGGTGTGTGGGTATGGCTTCCTGGATGCTGGGGCTAGGGCTGGGCTTGAGAAGCCAGGAGAATTTAGGGAGGGGACCAGGTGGTGTCTTTACTGGATAAGGTATGCGGGGAAGGCCATGGGATTTGGTTCTGAGGCCCAAAGTGTCCTGCCTTGTCCCTGCTTCATCCATATAGCTACAGGATATTCTGAGCTGGGGGAGATGGCTCCCCACTATCTGAGTCGTTGGTTTTAGGTTTTACTCTAATGAGTGATGGTCATGGTGTATGGAGGGCAGAGGTGCTTCTGGAAGGAAGTGATCATCTGAACTGTGAAGTTTTCCAAGTGGAGGGCATTCTGGGCAGAGGGTATGGCCTGGGCAAAGACCGGGAAGTGGGGAATCAAGGAACATGGGGAAGGTGATACCCCAAGAGCAGGGGGGAAGGGGAGGGCCAGTGGTTGTGGGTTTTCCGTGGCCTGTTGTTAACCCCTCCCCACTCCTCTATCTGACCAGCCCAATCTTCCATTGCTGACTTGTCCTACTCAGGGCTCACGCTGTTTGCCTCCCCTGCCCCCTGCAGGGGCCTGAGCTCTGTCTCACTTATCTCACAGGGTGCCGGCCCCTGGGGGTCCTGAGGCACAGCTCAAGAACAGGCTGTGACCAACTGCCAGTGGTTCCCAGCCCAGGACCTCTAGGACCCCTCTAGAAAGTTCCTTGGGGCCAGGCTGTGGCAGGGGTTCAGCAGTCACTGTCCCTTTTAGAGTTAATTCCAGGCTTGGCTCTCCAGCAGTCAGCGGAGCAGCCCCTGTGGGTCCTGGAAGCCTCCCAGAGCTGCAGCATCCTCAAGCAACCCCCAGCCCCAGCCCAGTTCACCTCCCTGGTTGGTCAGATTTCCATGTGGGTCTTTGGAATGTTGGGAAGGGCTCCCTTATGCCTGAGAGAACCTACTAACAGAACAACAACAGCTAAGGTTTACAGAGTCCTTCCTGCACCAGGCACTGTTCTCAAGACTTGATACCGATTGACTCATTTAATCCCAACAACAGTGCTATGGGGATACCATTGTCATCCTCAGTTTGGTAATAATCCCAAGGGCCTGAGCTGGGGCTTTGACTCGGGCTATGTTGTACGGAAACTGTACTTTAACCCTTGAGTCGCCACGTTGTCCCTCAGAGGGTCCAGGAACTCAGGCTGGGATTTAGTTTCAGCTGTCCTAGAGAGCAAGGGGTAGGGCGCCTGGGGGACTCAGTGGGTTAGGCATCTGACTCTTGGTCTCAGCTCGAGTCTTGATCTCAGGGTCATGAGTTCAAGCCCCGCATTGGGCTCCATGCTGGGCATGGAGCCTGCTTTATTTTAACTTTTTAAAAGATTTTATTTATTTATTCATGAGAGACACACACAGAGAGAGGCAGAGACGACATAGGCAGAGGGAGAAGCCAGCTCCCTGCGGGGAGCCTAATGCAGAACTCAATTCCAGGACCCCAGAATCACGACCTGAGCCAAAGACAGACACTCAACCACTGAGCCATTCAGGTGCCCTGGAGCCTGCTTTAAAAAAAAAATTATATATATATATATATATATATATATATATATATATATATATAAAGAGAGAGGGGGGGGGGGCGGGGGGATGAGCGGTGACCCAAAGAGAAAATGGACTCACTAAAGGTCATACAGCAAGCTGATGGTGGTAGATCCGGTCTCCCTCTGTCCTCACCAGCTGTGTGACTGGGCTTGAGCCTCATTCTTGACTCCCTACAAGGAGGAGATTAGGGTAGAAGCCAGGAGGGCGGGACCCTCAGGGGACGTGAGAAGGGGCATGGGGTAGGGGTTTCTTGGGGGCCTTGATGTGTGTTTTATAAGTCACAAAGCTGTCCATTTATGTTGTTAGCATCTTTCTGAATGCAGGCCGTATCTCAAAATGCTCCCAGCATCTACCTCGCAGGGTCATTAAGAGCCTAAGAGAAATGTTTGTTAGGTAGCAAACAGTACCTGGCACAGAACAGGTGCTCAGGTTCTCCTCTTGTCCTTTCTTTCTTTCTTTTTTTTTTAAGATTTTTTTTATTTATTCATGAGAGATACAGAGAGAGAGAGAGGCAGAGACAGGCAGAGGGAGAAGCACGGTCCATGCAGGGAGCCCAGTGTGGGACTCAATCCTGGAACTCCAGGGTCAGGCCCCAGGCCGAAGGCAGGTGCTAAACCATGGAGCCACCCAGGGATCCCATCCTCTTGTCCTTTCTTGGTGGCCGAAGGACTTCCCTGTGAGGATGGGATCTGGGGGGCCCCAAGGGATATGGAAGTAGAGAAGGGCATGTGTTCAAAGCCTGAGAAGGGGGATCCCTGGGTGGCGCAGCGGTTTGGCACCTGCCTTTGGCCCAGGGCGCGATCCTGGAGACCCAGGATCGAATCCCACGTCAGGCTCCCGGTGCATGGAGCCTGCTTCTCCCTCTGCCTGTGTCTCTGCTTCTCTCTCTCTCTCTGTGTGTGTGACTATCATAAATAAATTAAAAAAAAAAAAAAAAGCCTGAGAAGGGTAACCTGGCCCATTCTCTAGATGAGGGACCTGAGGCTCCCAGGGAGGGTGATGGGGTGGCTCAGGGGGTGTTGGGGTGGCTCGGGCTGGGGACATGGAGTGGGAGGGACAAAGAGGGGAAGAGCAGCATCCAGCTCCCTCTGACCAGGGCACAGAGCAGCCCTGCTTTCGGATGACTCCCGCCCTCATGATGAGAACAGCCCTTCCAACCCTGCAGGGCTGCGGAAACCCAGCCTAATTGGATCCAGGACCCTCGGGAGCCTTGGTCCTCGCAGGAAGTTCCCAGGAACCAGCTCCCGAGGCTGGCCTGGGTCTTGGGGCTAGGGTGGGGCCCAGCAGCTGGAGCTCAGCACTCTGGGCTGCGTGGAATGGGGACACATGGAGGGCACAGGGATCGTGAGAGGCAGACTTGGAGCACGTGGGGGGCTCACGCTGGGAAAGTGGGAAACCTCAGCTTCTCCCCACTAGACTATCTCCTGCTTATCACTTCCAGGCCATCCTTCTGTCCACCAAAAACCTTGACCATGGCCTTCCCCTGCTCAGAGACCTTCCATGGCTCCCCATGGCCTTTTATCCAAGCACCGTAGCCTGGAACTCTGGCCCTTTGTGACCAGTCCCAGCCACCTCTCCCTGCTTCCTCTGCAAATCCCTGCACTATACCCACACTGGACCAAACGTGATGCTTTATGCTTTCTTACTGCTGGGCCTTTGCACATGAACTTTTTACCACCTGGCCTGCCCTTTCCTGGCATCTCTTGACCTCTCTGCTTTCCCCCATTGGTAAGTCCCACGTTCATGAAATCTTCATGCACCCCTCAGTGGGATGAGCTCATCTTCCCAGGAACACCCATACCCCATAGCTCAGCTGAGCCCCAGCAGCAGCTGGTTGTCACTCTGGGGCAGGGAGCATGTTTGAGAACCCTCAGCTACCCTAAGAAGCTAGCAGTTGGCCATGTCTTTGCACATGCTGCCCCTCGGCTTGGAATGCTCTCCCTCTACCCTCTGGCTCTCCTGGCAAACTTCTCAGTCTGTAGAGCTCATGTGGACAGTCCCCTCCTCTCTCTCAGGGACAGCCCTTCTCTTTTAGTGAATATTTATTGAGCACCTAGCATGAACTAGGCATCTGAGCACTTCCTATGTGGTTAGTACTTGGCTCTGGGGCCGCCTTAGTGGCTCTGTACTTGTGGGTCACGACTGGAGGGAGGATCTGGAGGCGTGATAGAGAGGTAGAGAATGCAGGGGGCCGTGGGTGTGAATAACAGAGCTGTCCGCTTCATGCTGGGGAGAGAGTTAGAACGTGATCTTTAGCTGAGACCTGAAGGAAGAACCAGGTGAGCTGTGGGGCCGTGTTAGGATGTGGGGTCATAACTAAACCAAACCCAAGCCCTGATCTCAGAGAGTTCACAGCTATGTGGTGGGCAGACTGGGTGGACGGACAGGGAACCAGGCAGTTCTAGAAAAGTGGGGTCAGTGCTGTGGTGGAGGAGGTCCAGGAAGCTATGGAAGCTCAGAGAAGAGGCTGCAAATAGCTGTGGAGGGGCCTGTGAGCAAGAACACTTCCCCAAGGGTGTGACACTGGAGCTGACTGGTGGTTGATGGGAATCTGGCAGGGCTCCAGCTGGATGATGGCCCCAGATGAAAAGGCACAGCCTATGCAAAGGCACGGTGGTATGAAAGTGCAGCTTGTTTTGCGGGACCTGCAGGTAGTGTAGTGAGGCTGAAGGAAGGGAAGCTGTGGGTACGTATGTGTGTGGGATGTGTGTGGCCCACAGAACGTCACTGGTAAAGGCCTTTGGGTGCTGTGCTGGAGATTTGGAACTATACCTCAAAAGCGATGGGGACCCAAGAGAGATTTCAGGCAGGAGTGAGTGACCTGAGCAGGCTTTGGCTTAGTCCTCCCCGCTGAAGCCTGGTCTTCCCCATAGGACAAGCAACCCCTTCCTGACTCTGTGCACCTGGCTGGAGTCTGGGGTGGGGCTGGAGGCTCACTGTGGGACTTTGAGCAAGCCCCTGGCCCTCTCTGAGCTCTTCTCTCCTCCCAGGTAAACCTGCAGGGCTTGAGGCCAGAATCCTACTGGAGCTATGGGCAGGGGTTGGGCTGTCTTGTTTGGCCTAGGCTTGCTGAACCTTTAGTCTTATGAAAAATATGCCTTAAAAAAGGTCCCATAACTAGCCTGCAGAGAAGTCAGAGAATACGGAAATAAGGTAAACCCAAACCTACCATTTCTGCCCTTACCCCAAGCCTGAGGTACCATCACTATTAGCATTCTGGTTTTTCCTTCCCTCTTCTCAGTACCTGTTTTTATATAGATGTCATTGCTCTGTCTACACATACAATTTAGAAAATCTGCTCCCCCACCCTATCTCCCTGACAAATATTGTATCACGGGTATTTTCTACATGACTTTGGAGTGGTTCCAGCCCTTCTTTCTAACAGTGTTAGAGTGAAAAGCATGGGCTTTGGAGCTTGACTTTCTGGGTTCAAATTGTTCATGCTTGGCTTTGGGCAACTTACCTAATATCTCCGTGCCTCAGTTCCTGGTAAGGTTGATATGGGTATCAGATGAGTCATGACAATGCCAGTAAACATTGGCTATTTGTAATGATTGCTGACTATGTCACTGGGTAACGTGACTTACAGAGCCATCCTCCTATTTAAAAATCTGGCTCTTTCCGTTTTTCGTTATTGTAAAAAACAAAGCAAAACAAAACAAAACAAAAAACACTGAAGCAAACAGCTTTGTACTTAAAACTTTGTCTATATTTGGGTTATTTTCTAGGGACAGATGACCAAGAATGGGATCACTAGGCCAGGAAGTCTGAACTTTTTTTTTTTTTTTTTTAGCTCTTGACACATTATTGCCAGACTGTTTTCAGAAATGATTGTGGGGTGCCCAACTGGCTCAGTTGGTGGAGTGTGTGATTCTTGATCTCGGGGCTGTTGGTTCAAGCCCCATGTTGGGTGGAGAGATTACTTAATAATAAGTTCTCAAAAAAAAAAAAAAAAAAGGAAAGAAATGTTTGTTCCAGTTTATGTTCCTACCAGTAATGCCTAGCGGTGCCAATTTCATCTTACCCTCACCAATACTGGGTATTATCATTTTCTTCTTTCTTTTTGCTATTTTAAGAGGTGAAACTCATTTAATTTTCACTGCCAGGGAAGCAGAGCCACTTTCTGTGTTGATTAGCTGTTAACATCCTTTTTGGTCTGCTAGTCTTTATGGAGCACACATAGCCCCTTCTCAGCTCACTTAGGAAGATAGGGCTTAGATACAGGAAATAGGGAATAGGGTGACACCAGGAACAGTAAGGTGCCAGGGTAGGGAAGGGAACTTTCATCTATCCAGGTCTTGACCCTTTCAGTTCCCTCTACCTAGAGCATTCATTCATTCATTCATTCATTCATTCATATATTCATTCATTCATTCATTCATTCATTCAAACATTTAGCAGATACTGTGCAGGGCTTAAAAGATAAATTACTCAGCCATGATTCTGCCCTGAGAGAGAGCATGCCTAATACCAGAGATAGTCACGAAATCAGAAAATAGGGGGATACATGTTCTGATGATGGATGTGCAGGGTACAAAGGGAACAGAGGAGAGGTACCCAGCATAGCCTAGGGGGGTGGAGGTGGAACAGTCCTGGAAAGCTTTCAGGAGGAAGTGGTCCATAAGCCAGAGCTTGAGTATAATTTGGAGTTAGCCAGTAAAGTGAGGAGGATGGAGGGTTCCAGAGAGAGGAAGCAGCCTGAATGAAGGTTAGGAAATAAGGGAAGTGAAGCCCTGGGGGAACTCTATGGCTGGCTGGGCAGAGAGTAACGTCAGAACAATCAGTGAGGCCAAAGAGGTCAGCAGGGCCGGATATGTAAGGCCCAAGGAATCCAGACCTTGTCTGGAGGGAAATAGGGAGCCATGGGAGGTTCTAAGGAGGTGAATACCGTGATCTGCTCTTGTATTTTAGAAATATCACAGCAACTACAGTAGGAGAATGGAATCGGGGCTGTGGGTAGAGGCAGGGAAATCAATGAGGGGACTCTTGCCAAAGGGGACCGGGACCAAGGCAGAGAAAGGTTGCTGGAGACCTTTCCCCACTCTATAGAATCCTAAAAACAGCTCCAAAGTGCATATTGAATGTTACCTGTGCCAGGTAGCCCTTGTTGACAGCCACCACCGCCCCACTGGGTCCTACGTGCCTGGAGTACGCAGACTGTACAGGGCCTGGTGTGCACTGCTGAGTGGAGCGCCCACCATCAGCTGACCCTAACCTTTCCCTGTGCCTCCCGGACCCTCTGTCTGTTCCCTCTCCACCCTTGGGCTACCAACAATTTTCTGTCTTTTCTTGGAGAATAAATTTATTGTTTTCATTATAAAAGCAACTGAATGCGGTTACAGAGAATCTGGAAATCAGAGAAACAAAGACAAAAACTAGATCGGCTCCAGCCACCTCTCCCAGCCCTCCCTCTGGGTGTGGCTCCCTGCAGCTTGCTTTTTCTGACGCAGGTTTTTATTTTTGCCTCCTTGTAATCATAGTGTCCGGACGGTTTTGGTCCTGCTCTCTCCCATTTGCTTTGTTGAGAGCTTGTTCCTCTGTGGCCACGGAGTCTGGACAAATCTCAGTTTTTAATGCCTGTGGGATGGTCTGGGGATGCGGGTGGGACAGAGTTGCTTAACCGCACCCTGCTGTCCTGCAGTGGCCAAGGCTTGTCACATGCCACCTTGGGCTGCCTGTCCTCTTTGTGTGTTTGTCTATACCCGGACTGCTGCAGGTGGCAGGGCCTGCCCCCTGGCATGCCCTTTCCTTGGTGCTTCCTCTCCCAGTGCCCCTTTGTAGAGCTTACAAGGCTGGCCTCAGCGACCATCTTCCTGGGAAAGGATCATGGATAGATCTGGGTTCAAATCTAGACTTGGCTCTGTGACCTCAGGCACGTTACATAACCTCTCTGGACCTCAGTCTCCTCATCTGTATCACGGATCTATTGCAACAGTAAAATAATGACTGTAAAAAATGCCCTGACACAGTTCCTGGCCCACTGTAAGTGCTCAAGAATAAGTAATCAATATTATTCTATTTTTTCGTCCCACAAAGAGTTTCTGAGATCACGGTGGGCTAGGTGCTGGAATGGCAAAGGTGAATGGGCATTGGCTATACCTGTGAGGAGCTCACAGTCTGGCGGGAAAGTCACCCAGGGAAACAGCACATCAGGGTGGGGCTGGACCAGGTCTGGGTGGTGTCCTAACTCCGTTACTTGCTAGCTGTGTGACTTTGGGCAAGTTGGTCAACCTCTCTGAGCTGCAGTTTCCTTTTCTGTTAAATGCACATCTCCCAGGGTCATTGGGAAGACTCTGTGACATGATGTGTATGACATACTCAGCACAGTGCCTGGCATGTAGTAGGTGTTGAAATAAATGGTAGCTGCCATTTTATTATTATTGTTATTGTTATTCCCATATACAAGGTGCTGTTGGGAACACAGAGGAAGTGACTGGCTGGGGGTTCAGGGAAAGCTCCGTAGAAGAGGGAACACTTGAGCTGGGTCTTGAAGGATGAGTAGAAGTTCACCAAGTGGGAAAGGACACTCTAGGTAAGGAGCCTGTGATTCCAGGTTGAAATTTGTCAATGAGGGGTTTGTTCTTTGGGGGGGATTAAGGCATTGTGTTCATCCCAGATTCCTCGAGTGCCCTCATTGCTTCCCTCTGGGTCTGTCCCAGAGGCCATGTGCACTCACCGTCTGGTGACAGCGCCCACCTGTGACTCTGTGTCCCGGTGGCTATGGGTTCCTGCTCCGTGTCCCCGTCTGTCCATGTTTGGGACCACAGGTCTGTGTCTGTCACGTGCGTCCGTGTGTGGTGCTGTCTGCATGTTCCTGTGATGGTGTTTGTCTGTGTGCGTATCCAGAGGTCCCTCTGGGCCACACAGTGGGGGGCGACCCGCATGCTTCCTTGGCCTCCAGCTCCTACCAGATAGCCAGGCCTCCTTACTCACTCTCCTCCGGGTCCCAGCTCAGCCGCTGCCTCTCGCCTCCATCCCATTCTCCAGGGGCCTCCTAACAGGTATCCTCCTGCCTCCTCTCCTGGCCTCTCCAGTCCCATTGCACAGAGCAGTCAGAGGGGTTTTTCTAAACCACAGATTCGATCCCATCACCCGTTGCTTCGAGGCCAGACTCCAGGTGTAGGATTTCTTCAACTTTCTAGGTCATGCCCTGGCTGCTGGCTCCAGCCTCACGTCCCCTCTCCCAGTCTACACCAGCACACTGGGCTCTTGGCACATGGCGTGTTGCTTCTCACCTCTGGGCCTTTGCTCAGACTGCTGCTTCTGTCAGGAATGCTCCCCAGTCCTGTGTTGCCTGGCTCACTCCCATTCATCCTTTAAGACCCAAAGCTGGCATCACCTCCAGTGGGCAGTCCTCCCTGATTCTTTTTTCCATCCTGGGTCAGGTCCCTGGCTCTGGGCTGTCATCCCTTACTTGGGGGACAGGAGCAAGTGATTTGCCCAAGATCACACAGCTGGTGAGTTGGAGCCGAGATTGGAAGCTGGGTGGATTGGGCTCTAAACAAAGCAGACTGTCCCGTGGGCCAGGCGAGGTGGTCATAGCTAGGACTCGTAGAGTGGAGAGGGTGGATTTGAGGGGGATTTAGGAAATGCAGTCCCAGGGACGTGGCTGGTGGTGGATCTGAGCTGGGAGAGGTGGGTGGGTTGTGTTCGGGATCCATGTGTGTCTGTGGCAGGAGCATCTGGGCAGATGGGGATGTCCGCTCACAGGAATGGCTAGAGGGGCACACGTCTTAGGGGAAGACCAAGTCCAGCTTAAGCCTGCTGAGTCTGACCATCCCATGAGACAGCAAAAGGGAGGCAGTTGGAAGGTGGGCCTGGAGCTCCAGGGACAGGCCTGGTCTGGGGGTGGAGACTTGGGGCTTGGCCGATATTTGAAGTCCTAGAGTGGATGGGCCACCCAAGGATGAGGCAGGTGGGGATGGAGGAGCCTGGCCTGTGGTTGACAGCTCTGAGAGATGCTGAGATGAGGGGCCCAGGATCACAGCCCAGACCTTCACGGTGGTCCAGGCAGCATGAAACCATGAAGGGTCCAACTAGAAGGTGGCCTTTCAGCTTTGACCCCATGGAGGTCCTCAGTGGCATGTAGCAGGTCTCAGGCAAGAGTTCTTTTCTGCCGAAGATTGTGGGTGACATGTCTTCCTCCTCCACTTAGCTTGGAGCTCCCAGATGGCAGGGCTGCCCCACCCCCATTTACCTTAGTTTCCCCAGCACTGGTCCCTGTGTGGCCCAGAGGATGTATATCCAGAACGATTGGATGGGTGGTGGATGGGCCAGCTGCCATCAGGATACTGTTTTCAGAATCAGCTCTAGGTGTTTCATTCATCCACCTATCCAGCCCTTTTCACCTTGTGGAGCAAGAAAAACAGTGTGCTTGTGCTGCTGTAAGGGTCAGGGTTACGGGTCTCACAGCTCATAGCAGTCTTGGCTGCTCTCTGGGGCTTGAACACATCCTGCCCAACCACCAGCCCATCTCTTCTGTCTGTCTCTGCAGGAACACTCAGCCCCTGGCCCCATCTCCTCTGCCCCAGGGGGTGCTGCCCTCAGGCTGCTCCCTCTGACATCCACCCCCTTGTGGCTCTCTTGCCTCCCAGACCTTCTCCCCACCCACTTTCCATTCCAGCCCCACCCCTCAGAAGGTATTCTGCACCCCACTGTCTGGCCTGGCCCTCACTACCTCCCCTCTCCCACTCTCTTTGGTGCCTGAAGGTGGCGGCTCAGGGACCCAAACCTGCCCTTGTACTTTCACACATCCGTGCTTCCGCTCAAGCTGTGGTCTCTGCTGGGAATGCCCTTCTGCCTAAACACACACCTGTCCTAAACATACACCTGGCCGGTCTCCTGCTTAAAACCCCTCCCCTAAGACAAGGTCTGAGCATGACCCTGCCCACCCACCTCTTGCGATGGCCCGCCATGTCGAGCAGGTCCCAGGCTTACACAGCTAGGTACCCACCCCACAGGCTTGCTGGGAGGCTCCCATGAGATACTCATGGAGTGAGCCTAGCAGGAAACCTGACGTCAGTAGGAGCTCAGCAAATGGCCATTCCCCGACTGCCTTCCCTGCATTTGACACAACAGGTGTACACCAGGGGCCAGGGGCACAGACTGAATCATTAAATTACTTAAGACCAGCCAGAGGAGGACAAGGAGAAATTAGGCAGAGACTGTGGGGATCAGATTAAGTGGTCCGGGACAAATCCTTTTCTTCCATGGCCCCAGCCAGGGCGAGGGGCCATCCTTGTCTGCCCAGGAGCCTGACAAGTGGTAGAGAGGATGCTCTATCCCAGCCATGGGACCCTAGGCCAGCCACCTTCTTCCCCCCATATCTCCCTGATCGGGGGTAGGGGTGAGCCTTTGGGAAGCCTGAACTTGACATTGAGCTGAAGAGGAGGAGAAGGTAGCTCCCCCAGAACTCTGAGAACAGCTGGTGTGGTAGGCAGAGTCCTGGGCCAGAGCAGGAATGAAGCAGAGCAGCCTGTTTCACCCCATTTCACAGATGAGAACTCAGTCTCTGAGAGCGGATGCCCAGCAGTGCAGTACGGTGCTCCCTTCTGTCTCTTTGTCCTTGTGGCCTGGAGCAAAGTGCCTCCCTCTGCAAAATGGGGATGCAGATACTCCCTTCTTCCTGGGGCTCTGAGGAGAATGTCAGAGAAGAGCTTTGTTAATTGTCGAATTGTGTGTGGTTGCCTTGAATTCTTATTATTATTCCTTCATTTATTCATTCTGTCGTGCAACTCTCATTGTTGGTCACCTCTGGGCCTGGCTGCTGGGATACTGAGATGGATGAGATAGGTGTATCTAGTTCCTGGCTCCCCTTCCCCCCAGCCTGGAGCCTCCACTCCCTGGCTCTCCAGCTCAGTTCCCTTCACACTTTCCCTGGTGGGCAACAGCTAGGAGGACAGACAGGTCCTAACGCTTCTGGATGAGTGGGTGCCTGCCCCCTGGGGTGGTGCTCATTGTATCCTAAGACAGGACATAATCACAAGCCAGCAGTCAGGATGCCTTGTCTTTCCCCTGGACAGCTAAGGGACCAATCAGCTGGACTTTGGAGTCAGGCAAATTAGAGCAGGAATCTCAGCTCTGCTTACTTGCTGTGTGACCTTGACCAAGTCACTCCACCTCTGGGAACTTCAGTTTCAGTTACAAAATGGGGATGATGAAAGTACTTGTCTTTGAGTGTCAGTGTGTCTGGTACAAGGTAGGCAGTTGGTAGATGGCAGCCTTCTGTCATTACTGTGTTGAGGTCTTTCTGAGAAAGGGATCAGGAACACTCAGGGAGAACTCCAGGCAGGAAATGCTTCTTAATGCTGGGCTGAGGGAAGGGCAGCTTGGTGTCTGTGGGTAGAGGGAGCAGGAGAGCCCTCAGAGGGCAGGGGCTGTCCCAGCCACCCTAGAGGAGGCTACTCTGACCCTCAGCCTGGCCAGGCTCAGACCCCAAGCAGCCCCCAGGCTGGGTGTGAAAGGCAGAGGATGTTTTGTGTAGGTATCTAGCCATTTGCATGTGGGTGTTTGCTTAAGCAAGGACTGAGGTTTGCAAAGCAAATTGCCCAGAGCAAATGGCTTGAGCAAATCCAGTTACCAGTTTGACTCTGGCACCCTCGCCCTGTTGTCTTGGACAGGTCCCCCCCTTCTTTCCAAGCCTCAGTTTCTTCACCTATAAAATGGGGTAATAATACCTCCTGTGCTTATTTCTCAAGTAAAGATTACAAGGATAATTTATATTAGAAGTCATTATGAAAAGTGTTGAAATTAGATTGTATTGAGAGCTTTCTCCTAAAACCCTCTGCCTACAGTTCCAGTAGGGGCTCCTTGGGCTTCTAGGACCAGGAAAAGAGGTTGAAGGCACTTTATTTTGGCCTTACCTGTTGAAGTTTTACTTCAACAGCAATACCAGTTGGTATTTAGTAATTTCTGTAAGAGAGAGATAAAGAAGAGGATATTGATGGAGAGCAAGAGTCTTCAGGATGGTCCCTGTAAGTCACTTCTTGACTTACTCCCGGGTTGCAGGAAGACTAGAACCCTCTGGAAGAGTAAGATAGCTCTGCAGGCCCATCTTTCACACTGCCATGGTTGAATGGCTTTCTAATTGCACGGGCCTGCCATGGAACTTGCCAGAGGTGAGGACCACCAGTAGATTGTCACATACTTCTACTGAAGAGTCCCAAACTGCCCCAGCCGCAGGCCTCCCCAAGCCCCTCCTTAAGCACAGTATGCTGACACACTCTTGTAGGTAAAATGTTGTACGCGTCCATGCTTGTTTCTTGAAAACTCTCCAGAGGTACAGTTTCTCAGGTCTAAGGGCAATAATCATTTGGGTCTCTAAACCATCGTGCCAAATTGCCCTTCAGAGTGGCCGTATCTGATGACCCAGGCTGCCCCCTTGTTCTGATGAGGATGTCTGCCTTCAAGGGGTCAGCGGTCAGAAGGGCAGGGATCAGGGTTGGACAGTTACCTCTGTTTTATGGCCATTTACAAAGTGCTCCAAGATTCCCCAATGTGTCTCTGTCTAGGAGCGGGGAGATGGGGGGCTTCTGTGTGGAATCCATGGGTCCATGGGGTCAGCTCTGCAGCCTTGGGTCCTTCTAGGGGATGGGGATTGGTCTGCCCACATCAGGGTGATGGGGGGACTGGGAGCACAGCTGATCTGTCTCTGACCTTTGCCCTCTGGGGCCCACAGAGGGAGACACTGAATTCCTGACTTTTCAGCTTGGAGACCTGTTGCCCAGGCCTGGGAGGGGGTCTGTTGCAGGGTGAGGGTCCCACAGGGGCAGGGGTCCCAGACACCGGGCCAGTCTTGAGTGGGCACGGCTGATGGGAGCTCGCCCCAGGCGGGTGGGGAGGGTCCCTGTGACAGTCGCTCTCTCCCCGCAGGATGGCCGAGCCTCGATTTAACAACCCCTACTTCTGGCCCCCTCCTCCCACCATGCCCAGCCAGGTAAGACCAAGCATCGCCCTCCGACCGCCCTCCCTCCTGGAGCCGCTTTGCTTTGCCCTGGCTTCGGCCCGGCCTGCGGGGCTCGGGGCTCCTGGCTCGCGGGGGACCGGCGGCCCCAGCCCCCTCAGTGCCTCTCCTCTCCCGCCCGCAGCTGGACAACCTGGTTCTGATTAACAAGATCAAGGAGCAGCTGATGGCGGAGAAGATCCGGCCGCCGCACCTGCCGCCCACGTCGGCCTCGTCGCAGCAGCCGCTGCTGGTGCCGCCGGCGCCGGCCGAGAGCAGCCAGGCGGTCATGTCGCTGCCCAAGCTGCAGCAGGTGCCGGGGCTGCACCCGCAGGCAGTGCCGCAGCCCGACGTGGCGCTGCACGCGCGGCCCGCCACCAGCACCGTCACAGGTACGGCGGGCCGGGCGGGGCGGGGCCGGCGGCGAGGGGAGGGGCGGGGCTGCCGGGCGAGGGGCGGGGCGAGGGGCGGGGCTGCCGGGCGCGGGGCGGGGCGAAGGTCCCCTCGCATCCTGGCCTGGGAGGACCCCCCCCCATCCTGACCGAGGTGGGGGCGCTGCCTCCTGGGAACTTACGGAATCCAGAGAAGAGCCCTGACCGGACTTGTTGGGGGTGAGGGAAAGGGCCTTGTGCAGGTGCAGGGTGGCTGAGGGCCGCGGAGCAGGAAGAGGGAACAGCATGTGCAAGGCGGGTCTGTGTGTAGAAAGCGCACGTCGGAAGGTCTGTCGGGGTGGGAGGGCCAAACGATGATGATGATGGTGGTGACTACGACTATAATATGGCAGCTGACTCCACAGTTGAGCCCCTGTGGGGTGGGTACTGCTAGTATGAGGTTGAACAGGTGATTATTTTTGACTCCGGAAACAGCAGTTTCCTGTTCACTCTGACGTCTCCATTTAACAGATGAGGAAACTGAGTCAGAGTTGCACAGTCAGCAGGAGGCAGAGGCAGGCAGCGTGGCTCCAGAGCCCATGTGTTAATGACCCTTGGCTCTACCTGGTCTCAGAGAGGAAGCCGACCAGATGTGAAGGGCCCTGTGGGCCAGGCTGTGCAGTTTGGACTTTACCGGCAGGCAACGGGGAGCCATGGACGATTTTTAAGTAGGGGAGGGAAATGCTCAGATTTGGGTTGCAGACCTGAGTCTGGCTGCAAAGTGAGGACTGGCTTGCTGAGAGAGGAAGCAGGGAGATCTGCAGGAGAGAGTGGTGGCCTGGATCAGGCAGAGGCAGTGGGCATAGAGAGAAGGGGATAGATCTGGGACTTGTTGAGGGGAATGGACAGGGCTTGGTGCTGGACTAGATGTAGGGGTGAAGAGTGGGAAGGAGTGAGAGCACCCCAGGCACTGCCCGGCAGGTGGAATCATAGGAGGAAGCACCTAGTAAGGAAAAAGGTGAGCTCAGTCTTGGGTAGGTTGATACCAGGGTGTGGGGCACATCCTGAGGTGGTGTCACGGCGCCAGGGCTGCCTGACGTCTACCCCAGAGCCTGGCAGCCAGGCTTTCTCTGGAGGCCACTGCAGCTGGGCCTTTGTTCCTCCCCTGGCTCACCCCTGCCTCTCTCCTCCTTTGCCCCTTCTCAGAGATTTCCCAGGAATTATGGGACCCAGTGAGCCTCCCCCGAGGCCTGACCAGCTACACTCTGAACATCCCCCCCTTATTATGATTTTATTAAATTTATTTTTTTCATTATAAAAGTAATATTAAAAAAGTAATATAAGCATATTAAGGGAAATTTGGAAAAAAGCGAAACTAAGGGGAAAAAAAAAACCCACTCATAATCCCCAGCTCCTAACCCAGCAGCTTAGAGAGCCTTTTGGTTCATTTCCTTCCTTTTCCATCCTGTTTATTTTTTAATATGCGTGTGTGTTTTGCTGAGCTTGTAGTAGGGCTTTACCCATGACTTCAACTCACTTTTCCTACTCACCATTCTATGAGAAGCATGTTTAATGCTTTTTTTAATTATAAAGGTAATTCATAGTCCTTACAGAAAATTTAGAAATTGCAGACAAGCTGAAAAGAAAAAATTAGCCCGAGTCATACTATTGTTAGCCTTTTCGTATGTTTTCTCTATAATTTATTTTGTTTTATTCTTTAATCACAGATATAAAAAATGGATGAATTCACCAGGTAAAAAAAATTCAAATAATAATAGAAGCAGATAGACAAAGTATGAAAGTCTCCTTTTACCAGAAAATTCTTCGTCCTCCCTAGTGCAAACCACAATTTATACACAAATTTAGTTGGGTGTGTCTTCTCAGATCTATTTCTGAGCATTTACACACACATCTTTATTGTCTTTTACATACATATGAAGCTTAGGTGTGTGTTTTTTTAAATAGATGGGTTCATACTGTCTGTGATTTGCTTTTTCACCTGACAACAGCACATTTGGGCATTCTCTCTCCACCACGCTATAGCGTCTTTCTTGTTTTTGTGGCTGCTCAGTCCTTTATAGGGAGGATGGACCACATCTTTTTACACAGCCCCTGCTGAAGACAAACTGGTTGTATTCAGTTTGGTTGCACAGAAAGTCCGTATACACACATCTTTGTGCTCATGCGCAAATATTTCTTCATGTACCATTTCTAAAAGTCATTGGTTTGTCAGAAGTTAGGTACATTTGACATATTAATGGCTTCTGGCCATCAGCCCTCCATCGAGGGTGATAAATGCACACTCCTGCTGGCAGCAGGTGACACAAACAGTTGTCTATCTCTGGATCTTACCTTTCTCAGTGGATGGATTTTTGGTTTCTTTCTAAAAGCAGCGTTGTTTTTGTTACATGATCATTACCACTTTCCTCTTGTGGTCTGCTTGACCTGATATTGTAAATGTTTCTAGTCCTCTCATTTTTAAAAGAATGCCTTTTATTACAAAAGTTTTTTTTTCTTTTTCCATTTTTTTTAAAGTAATCTCTACACCCAGTGTGGGGCTCGAACCCACAATCCCGAGATCAAGAGTTGAACACTGCTCCTCTGACTGAGCCAGCCAGGCGCCCTTGTATTACAGAAGTTTTTGAAAAAGTTCATTGTCAAAGAATCAAAGTACAGTTAAGCCAAAAAACTTTAAAAAAAAATTTTTTTACTCCTAACCTTACTGTCCACATTACTTTTGATACCTCTTCTTCCCCTACTTACTTTTTCTGTACATACATATAACATGTCTGTTCATTTGTTTTGTGCGTGTGTTTCATTTCACAAACATCATCTCTTTAATGGGCAGTTAATATTCAGTAGAGAAGGTTGATCACAGTTTATTGACCCCTTCCCTCATGTTGCATATTTTGATTACTCTGATTTTTTTGCCATTGCAAATAATACGGTAGTGAACATCTTTGTGCTTTTTTGCTGTGGTTTGAAGTATTTCCAAAGGGCCTCTGTTACCAACCCAATTTAGTCCTTAGGTATGTAAGGCATCTTACACGTACACAGGCTCTCATGGAGTCACCCCTGGGTAATTTACAAAGGGAAGGGGAGGCTCGGAAAGGCCTCTGCAGCTGCCCCCACCCTCATGTCTTCCACAGGTCTGGGGCTCTCCTCCCGGACCCCGGCTGTGAGCACGTCCGAGTCGAGTGCAGGCACGGGTACCAGCACCCCGTCCACACCCACCACCACCAGCCAGAGCCGCCTCATCGCCTCGTCCCCCACCCTCATCTCAGGGATCACCAGCCCCCCCCTCCTGGACTCCATCAAGACAATCCAGGGCCACGGCCTGCTTGGCCCCCCCAAGTCCGAGCGCGGCCGCAAAAAGATCAAGGCGGAGAACCCAGGGGGGCCGCCTGTCCTCGTAGTCCCTTACCCCATCCTGGCCTCGGGCGAGACTGCCAAGGAGGGCAAGACATACAGGTGGGGGTCTTGGTGGGAGGGGGTCCACATGGGCATGGGGCAGAGGCTCGCCCTAGATGCCCAGCAGCTGGGGTTGGAAAGAGGGACCCTGGGGGCTGAGGGTGGGTGCCAGGCCCAGAGGAGTGGGAGTTCTGACCTTTTGCAGGTGGGCTGGGGACTGTACTCCATGCATGTGCAGGGCTGCTGGGAGCCAACCTCACAGGCAGCCTGGAGATGTGGGAGTCTGATTCTTCCTTCCTTCCAACAATGTTCCCAGCCCTCAAGTTACAGTCATTTGGGGAGGGCTCAGAAAATGCCAATCCCAGGACTGTACCTCCAGAAATCCTGATTTAATTTGTTAGGTGGGGGGGGGGGGCATGCAGAGGTCCAGTCAGCCCTTTTTGAAAACTCCCCAGATGCTTCTGATGTGCAGCCCAGAGGAAAACTTCTTACTCCTGAGTGTTAAGGAGTAAGGAATGTTGGGCAAACCTTTCCAGAACTGCTGGGCCCTCTCCTCCCGGGGAAATGTAACCCACTCCCCTGCTGCTGCAAATGGGCCCCCAGTAGGACAGCCTTCACCTCCACATTGGAGGATGCTCGGGTTGGCAGGCTGCCCCCTGTCTTTCCAAGGTGGGCTCCTCACAAGAAAGCCCTGTGCCAGGTGCGAGGTCTGTGTGCTTGTGGAAGTCCCCTGAGCTTACAGGCAGAAGCTTACACTTCCCGGGTATGATGTGCCTCTTGCCTCACAGGTGTAAGGTGTGCCCACTGACCTTTTTCACCAAGTCTGAGATGCAGATCCACTCCAAGTCACACACCGAGGCCAAGCCCCACAAGTGCCCGCACTGCTCCAAGTCCTTTGCCAACGCCTCCTACCTGGCCCAGCACCTGCGCATCCACCTGGGCGTCAAGCCCTACCACTGCTCCTACTGTGATAAGTCCTTCCGACAGCTCTCCCACCTCCAGCAGCACACCAGGTGAGTGGCCTGCCTGGTGCTGCCCCCCCCTGCAGCCGGTATCAGCTCAGCACCTATGCCAGGTGCAAGGACCTTCTTAGGTGCTTACTGCCCTGATGGTCAAGACCAAACTCCTTTACTTGGCTTTTGAGGCCTCTGATAATAGGACTTTTATAGACCTCACTGGCCTCTGCCATCACTACTATGCTGCCCTTCCCAGTGTTTCTCATCTGCTGTGTCCTTTACTTGAAACACTCTCTCCCTTCTTTATCCTGTTTCTCTGGCCCTCTCCTAGCCATCTCTCTATTCAGCTTCCTCCAGGGAAGTCTTCCTGGGGCCCCAACAGGCCATGTGCATCTCCATCAGAGCAGTGGCAGGCTGTCTTGCCAGGTTCTTTGCCCACCACCCCAAATACATTGGGTGTTCTTGAAGGCAAGGGCTTGGTCGTCTCCATTCCTATATCCTCAGTGTGTGGAGCGTAACAAGCAACTAGGCATTTGTTGAATATTTGTGGAATAAATAGAACTATCTTTTATAGGGCATATGATTCATCCATGTAACAAATATTTACAGAGCCTCTGCTCTAAGACAGACATGATCCTAGGTGCTGGAGACACAGCAGTGAATAAAACAGACAAAAATCCCTGTCCTCATAGGCATACAGTCTAGCGAAGTGTGTGAAAGACAGCCTCAGAAATACAAATGCTTTGAGGAAAGACAAATTTTTGCAGGGGAATACAGACATCAGAAAGGCTAACTTGGCACTCACCAAATAAAAATACCATAGGTATTTAAAGAAACATACCAAAGGTTACCAAGATTGCAGTTCATCCCTTCAGAGAGGAAGAGACACAGTGGTTCTCTCCCCCAGTGATGATCACATCTGTGAGCATTGCTATCTGTTGGCCAGTATCAGCTTTGTAAAAGTCGGGGATAAGGTGATTTTTGCTGTGGAGCTTGTAATTCGCCGGGAGCAATCAAGTTTTCTCTCTTTGGGGGACTAATGCTAGACAGAGAGACCCTAGTTTTTGTTTCTAGGTTTTTAAAAATTGTTATCACTGTTGTGATTTATTTGTATATGTCCATGGTCTTAGTAGGCTTTATCACAGGATGCAGAATGCCTTGTCTAGTTCTTGGACTCAGAGACCTAATGTGTAGGTTTGATAAGTAAGAAACATTGGCAGAGTGACAGCAGGGCAAGCCTCTGTTTCTCTCGCTCCGGTGCCTCCCGAGGTATAAGGATTTGACCATCGAAGTGTGTTCCAGCAATTTTCTTTTGTTTTTGTTTTTGTTTTTGTTACAGCAATTTTCTGATGTTTGTCATTACTTTGATTTCTTTTTTAAGTTTGGCCAGTTTTTTTTGGACACAGGCATATGTAATGAGGTGTTGATTTTTCTGTTGTTTACTCATTGAGACAGAGAGATACAGAGAGAGAGCATGAGCAGGGGGAGAAGCAGAGGGAGAGGAGGAAGCAGGCTCCCCACTGAGCCAGGAGCTGGACAAGGGGCTCCGTCGCAGGACCCTGAGATCACGACCTGAGCTGAAGGCAGAGGCTTAACCAACTAAGACACCCAGATGCCCTGGGCGGGGGGCGGGAGGTGATTAATAAACAAAGTCCTGCTGGTTGTATGGCTATTAAAATCAGAGCATGTGACACTGACGTTTCAGAGTTAACTTCTGTCAGGAGACCTCGCAAAACCCCGGGGTCATGATTTTAATCTTGTGTGTGAAAAAATTTCTTAGGATATTATCTAGGATCAGAAAGCTAGAACCATTCAGTTCAGATTTGTTGGGTTGTTGCCCCTACAGCCTGTAACGGTCAGGGTACGTTCTTTTTGCAGATTTCCCTTTTGTCAGTGTCTTGGGCTGGCAGGAGCCACTTTTTCTGTAACATTAAGGGCTGGGGTTTCACAAGCCAGGGAGCAGATCTAGTGCAGCTTCCTAGGGAGGCCACATTCCCACATGTGAAGGTTGGCCCTTGTGTTTTGCTCTCAGGCTTGTCATGCCTAATTAAATGAAATTTGTCTTTAAATGTGACATTTCTGGCATGGTCATGGTTACAAATTTGATTTACCCAATTATATCCTGTAGGGAAGGGGGACAGATTCTTACTGACCCTATTTACCAAACTAACAGCCACGAGGAGTAAATGATCCCAGTAAAGGCACTGCATTTGTCAGCGATTATTCTGAGCAGTTTTGTAGGTGGGGCCAGTAACATGCTGTTTCAATAAAACTATTTTTTAATTTTATAACTTTTTTAAAGATTATTTATTTGAGAGAGAGAGAGTTGGGGGACAAGGGAGGGAGGGGCAGAAGGAGAGAGAGAATCCTTAAGCAGACTCTGTGCTAAGCTGATGCAGGGCCCAATCCCACAACCCCGAGATCATGACCTGAGCAGAAATCAAGAGTCAGATGTTCACCTAACTGAGCCGCCCAGGTGTCCCAACAGAATTATTTTAAAATTTCCTTGATAATTCATGAGTTTATATCTATGTTAACTTTGTTTAGTTTCCCTCTTCCCCCAGAATTCTGAAAGGTTAGTTGCGAAGGCACCATTTAAGAAATATTTTATTCCTTGTTCAAACATAGCCTCCTAAATTGAGGATTAGAGGCAGATCAAAGAAGAAAAGGGTCTTCTCATATCCCCTTTAGGAAATAGAAATGAACTCTGGTTAAATCACTTTCATTCAGTTCAAGGTCGTAACACCTGTTCTGCTGATCTTGGGTAGTCTGCTTTGCCACAGTGTCTGTTTCTGGACTGAAGAGTCTTGGGTCCTGCCTTCGTGTCAGGCAGTGTCCGGTCAAGGTGATGGCATCAGCGTGGAAGCTGTGCTCATTCATCATCTATTCCCTGAGAGAATAGACAGCCAAGTGTGTTTGCTACGGGCCTTTACTCAAGCTTAATGTCTTTTTCAGAAGACTCAACTTCTGACCTGAAGTAGACGCCTTTAGGCAGCTGGGATTGGGAACTGTTGATAAGACTACATGGCCCATTTATTGTAATAAGCAACATTTATTTTAACAATCAACAATGTCAGAATGGAGGAGAGTGGAGTCTTCTATTAAGATATAATGCATGATCGGTTTTTCAGATTAAGAACATATTTTAGGCAGCAAGGGCATTGAGCCATCTTTAGGTTCTACTTTATCTCATAAAGCATGTGTTAGGACTGTCACTAATTAAGTGTAGTTAAATGTAGAAAAAAAATTTTTTAAGAACATTACTTTTTTATTTTTTATTGTACATGAAAATAAACTAGTGTTTTTTTTTTGTCTCCATTTTAAAAAGTGCATATATAGGGACGCCTGGGTGGCTCAGTGGTTGAGCATCTGCCTTTGGCTCAGATCATGATCCTGGGGTCCTGGGATCAAGTCTCACATTGAGCTCCCTGCAGGGAGCCTGCTTCTCCCTCTGCCTATGTCTCTGCTTCTCTCTCTGCGTCTTCATGAATATATAAATAATAATTTTTTAAAGTGCACATATATATAATTCTATATGATATACTATATATTTATATAAATTGCATATAATCATATATATAATACATATAAATATCTATTTATACACATATATATGTACACACACACATAAAATATAAAATTAATGCAGGGGCTCGATCTCACAACCCTGAGATCATGACCGAGCTGAAATCAAGAGTCAGGTGCTTAACTGACTGAGCCAACTTGAGCTTTTCTTCTTTTGATTTGCCAACTTTTTTACGCTTGCATCTTTATAGGACAGCCCTTGCTCTAGTGTTTGCTAATTAAAACTAGAAAATACAAAACACTTGATCATTTAGAGCACTCCTCTTCTTATAAATCAAAGAAAAAATCTTTGGTGTCGCTGGTGGCCATCTAGAAAGTCCAAGAGCATGTAGGTGTAAGAGATACTCTGATAACTTTATTATTCTGATTTGAGGCCTGGATTTGAGAAGGCTAGGGCACAAGGTGGGCAGCCTAGGTGGGTATGAGCCTTGGTCTAATAGAAAATAAACATTAGTAGCAAGTAGTGATAAGTATGAAGAATCCTAGTTTTCCTGGGTGGCTCAGTCAGGTAAGCGTCTGCCTTTGGCTCAGGTTGTGTCCCGGGATCCTGGGATCAAGCCCTGCATGGGGCTTCCTGCTCAGCGGAGACTGCTTCTCCCTCTCCTGTGTCCCTTTCCCTGCTTGTGTTCTCTCACACACATGCTCTCTCTCTCATGATAAATAAAATCTTTAAAAAAAGAATCCTAGTTTTTTTTAGAAGTAAACTTTTGTTTTAAAATGTTAAACAAGACCATGACCATAAAAGCAACAAAAAATTAACAGGCCCCTGAAGGGGAGGGTATTTTGCTGATGTTTTTTGATCCAAGGATAGTTCTCTATTCCCGAGGACACATATTTTTTTTTCTCTTGAGTGATTTGAGTGCATAACGGTAGGAAACCAAACAAGCAACGTAAGAGGGTCCTATTAACATTCGAGACAAATTATTAGACAGCGGCACCTATAATTAAACCAATGTGTCCTAATCCAGTGACAAAGAGGTGGGTGTCCTAAATGCCCACAAGTCCCAGAATCCATTAGAGAGACAAACAAAAAAAGCCAGATATAAAGAAGCAACCAGAATCCAGATTCCTTGTTTCCTACCATTCCACAGAGACTCACTCCTGCTTTTTGCCCCTCCACAGAGAACTAATCAGGGCATAAATCAAATCCATCCTCCAAGGGTGACTGCCAGTAATGGTGGGAATAAAAGATGATCATGTCCAAGGCTAACCCAGCCTTGGTCATGTAATAGAAATGGGAGTTAGAAACAGGTTGAGCAAGATTACTCTGCTTGTTGAGAAAGATGTGCCTGGGAGCATTTTGGTAATGTAGTTTAGAGGAGCTGGAGCATTTTGGTGGGACCTCCTGTGAAAGGAAGACACAGCAAGTAAAGAAAAGCAGGTGATTGGCAGAGTGTTCTAGAAATTCAGATTCAGGGTTGGCCCAGTAAATAATAAATACCACATGTGGTTCAAAAGAAAGTCCGCAGAACTTTGTAGTGAGTCCGGTCATCAAACAAAAACAGCACTTGTCACACATACAACAGCAGTTAGCACATGTATATAAGATCACAGATGCGCAGCATCACGATGCCAAAATCAGGGATAGCATTTTGTGAGTGGGTTAATGAGTTATAGGAAAAGGCACGAGTGACTGGATTTGTTTACTCAGGCTGAAAACTGTTTTTTTGCATTTGTTTCTCTTCTCTGGGCTCTGTGATGCGTACATGTGGACCGATGCTGGTGGCAAGGGTAGGTGTCGTTCAAGTTCCACCAATGATGATGGTCGTGGTTATAAAGTTGTAACAACTAGTCCTTGTCAAAGGCTCCTGGGTGCCTGGCCCTGCAGAAGGTGATTCCATACAAGGCATCGGTAGAGTCCTCCTACACTGTGAATCTGTGTTTCTAAGTAAGAGATAGCACATCTGAAAAATTCCAGGGAGAGGGAGTCCTCTTGCAGAAGGCTCAGTCGCCGAACCTAGTGTCATGTGAATTACAAAGCACAGTCACTCTACGTCCTTTATTACCTGGGAAATAAAAGACCAGTGAGAACTAATGAACTTTCAATGATTTTATGTAAACATTGAATAAACTCTTTGATTTTCATAAAGTATTTGTCTTAAATAGAAATGAATGTATTAAAAAACTATCACCATGAAAGTATCTTAGGAACACCCTTAGAATAGGTCACTGAGTCCTTACAGTCCTTTCAGTTATTATTATCATCCTCATTTTTGGGCTGAGGAAACTGGGGTCAGGGAGGCAAAGTCACTTGCCCAAGGTCACTCCGCTAAGAGGAGGTGGAAGTGTGTTCAAGCCCAGATCCCCCAGGAGCCTGCCTGTGGCACAGGGAGGAAGGGGCTGCGGAAGTCAGGCTGCGGAAGGAGCTTGGATGGATGGAGGTGCTAGGCACAGCAGAGTGAGTCTCTGGGGCCCCGGGGTGGGGCCCCTGTATTGCCTGGGGTTCATGGTGAGTTCCCCTTCACTGCCCCTGTGGGAGCCAGGGCTGGGCTGTCCCCTACTGAGAAGGTGCAGGGCAAAGGCAGGACTGTGCTGTGGGAATTGAGGACTTACTTCTGACTCACAGTTCAGGGCCTGAAGAGCTTGGGGGCTGTTTCAGGGAAAGCACACAGCCTTGCCCTCCAGTCACCCAGCTGGCACTCCCCAAGGAGCCAGCCCACTGCTGGGTGGCACACACAAGGGCGATCAATGGTCAGAGGCAAGCCCTGGCCCAGTGGAAGCCCTCTGTGACCTGGAGGCTGGTGGGTGTGGAAGGGTTCATAAAAGAGGGAAGTATGTGGTGGTGGGGAGGACCATCTGGGTCAGGTGTTGAAGGGTCTGTAACCCTTCCTAGAGATGGTCAACAGCACAAGCAAAGTTCTCTGGGGCCTGCTGGGGTATGTGTCTGCACGTGTGCTGTGGGGAAGTTGGAAGGATGCTGCGCTGGGGAGAGCAGTGGTGGAGAGTGAGGCTTTAGAAACCAAGGCCTTGAATACCGGGGCACAGGGTTTGGACTCTGTCCTGGAAAAGGGAAAGACGGTGGAGGTTGCCAGGTGGGGCCATGACAAGGTCAGGTTCCTGTGCTGCTGCACAGGTGGAGGAGGCGGGGCAGGTGGGGGGAGGCAAGGCTGAGGCTGGGAGTCCAGGGAGGAGGCCAGGCAGCCTTGGCACTTAGACTAGAGGAGGCTGGAGGAGGGCTTGGTGGGGTCCCTGAAGAAGGACCTGATGTCCTCTGAAGGGTGCTTGGGCAGGCACTCAACAAATACTTGTGCACTACGGACGGCTTTGGTTGTGCGGAGCATAGTACTGTTGACTGTGACTGGCCTCGAAGAGAAAACTCACTTTCCTTCATTCGGTCCATGACTACGTACCGTGTCCTCGAGCTGAGCCTGCACCAGGCCCTGGGGTAATGGTGGTGAATGAGACCAGGGAAGCACTTGGCCTCAGGAGGCAGTCCAGGAAACAGTGACTAGATGGTGACAACATAAGTACCAACGCTTGGGGCAGGGGGTGTTGGGGGGCTACAGAGGCCAGGCCTAGTCTAGGGAGTCAGGAAAGGTGCCCAGTCAAAGCTTCTATGCTGACAATAGGAGTAAGGGTTTTCACCAGCCATTATCTGAGGGAAGTATGCCCAGAAGAGGGGACAGCCAGCCTGGATAAAGGAAGGAGCCTGGAAGCTAGTGGTGCCAAGAGGAGGCCAGTGGGGATGGAGGCTGAGAACAGGGGAGAAGCCCAGTGGGAGGTGTGGACTCTGGGGTGGGTTGTTGGGGGGGTGGGTTAGAACAAAATCCGTGCATGTCCCAGGGTCCCTTGGTCTCCTTTGCCCTTCAACTGCAGCTGAAGGAATTCCCCAGCCCTGGAGGGGACTGAGGATGGGATGAAATGGAGGGCTATGGCCTCAGGCGGGGTCAGTCCAGATGGCTGTTAAGGTCCTTCTGTTGTAGAGACAGGGTGCCATAGCTGGGATGAGTCCCCACGTGTGTGATGGCCAGTAATGTACAGGTCGAATATGGGTTCTCAAAACCAGGCCAGCCCGGTGGCATTTGGCAAGTCTCCATGCAGCTTGTGGGCTGCCCTGTGCTTGCCCTCCGGTCCCCACCTCATGGAGGAGATGGCGGGATGGGGGATGGCCGCCTTTGCTGGGGATGCAGCCAGGACACAGGTGTGGCGGGCAGAGTCATCAGTCAGACAAGGTTGCCTGATGAGAAACGGATCTCCGACCAGGAGGTAGGGTGCAGAGGAGCAGGGAGGTGAGGCCAGAGCCCATGGTGAAGGGCCTTGAATGCCACACTAAGGAATCTGGACTATCCATGTTAGTAGTGGGCAGCCAGGGTCTTACTGCTGGCAGAAAGGGTTCTTCTTTCCGGCCTGGCCAGCACGGGGCCTGCTGCGACAGGAACCTCAATTTGTTTGCTCAGTTTGTTGATGAGCAGAGCAAGCCCCGTCAGCGCGGTGGGCTGGGGCACCAGGGACAGAAACCAACACCAAGTGGCCAGGGCCGGGTTTTCCCTCCCCCTGATGCTCGGTGGCAAATGAGGGAAACAAGGTTCAGGCCAGCCAGCATTCCGCTGCCCACCTGCTTGGCAGAGAGGATTTGCCAGAACAGGTGACAGAGGACAAGCACAGGCTGAAAGTGGAAGGCTCGCATGGAGGACGGGGCTTCCGCCCCCGTGTGCTGGGCTCCTGAGCAGCTGCACACCTGCTCTGGGCCCACCTCCTCCTCACCTGGGCTGTCAGACAAGCATGTGCAGCAGCGCAGACTTGAGCAGAAAATAAGCCACATCAGCCCTGAAGTCATCACTCTGTCTGGAGTCACCCTCTCGGGGAGGCCCACCCTGACCACCCTATTTAAAATAGCACACATACCGGGCCGCCTGGGTAGCTCAGCGGTTGAGCATCTGCCTTTGGCTCAGGGCATGATCCCAGGGTTGAGTCCCGCATCAGGCTCCCTGCGTGGAGCCTGCTTCTCCCTCTGCCTGTGTCTCTGCGTCTCTCTCTCTCTCTCTCTCTCTCTCTCTCTGTGTGTGTGTGTGTGTCTCTCTCATGAATAAATAAATAAAATCTTAAAAAAAAATAGCACACATACCCCCACCACCACCATCCCAGAACATTCATGCTCCCTCCACCTTATTTTTTTTTCTTCTCACAGCACTGACTACATTCTACATGGGACTTACTTACTTATTTTATGTTTGTTGTTTGTTTCCATGAGGCAGTGGCTTTTTGTCTGTTTTGTTCATTCCGAGTACCAAACATGGTGCCTGGCACACGGGTACCCAATGTAATAATTGTTGAATGAATCAATGATAGTAGTACTGGCAAGTGTTTACTGAGTCAGCTCTGTGCCAACACTTGGATAAGCCCCTTAACATGTTTTATCTAATGTGATCTTCACAAAGTGAAGTGAGGTCATATTTTTATGCCCATTTTGCAGATAAACTGAGGCCCAGGGATTTCTTTCCCCAAGGTCACCCAGCTTGTAGATGGTAGAGCCAGGATGAGAACCCAGGAGTGGGAGTGGACAGAGGGGCTGAACTTCAGGCCTCACTGTCCTGCACTCCCTCAGTAGCTGGGGTGACCAGGTAGCCACCATGGATATGTCTCTGGTGTGGGGACAGGGCAGGAGTCAGAAATTGGGGGCCAGTCGGAGAGAGAGAGGCTTCCTTCTGAGGGAAAGAGGAGGGTGGACAGGGCAGTTCCTGGCAAAGCAGTGGATCTGTGTTCTTTTCCTTGGTGGTCTGCAGGTGGGTTAAGAGGAGAGGGGCAGAAAGCCGTCTGTGCAAGCCCCTGATGTGTAGCTGGAGGCTGGGCTGGGTCTCTGAGTGCGTCTCTGAGTAGGCGCTGGTGGTGGGCTGGATTCAGCAGGGGTGCTCTGGTCACAGACTGGCAGTGGGAGGCCAGAGAAGGAAGGAGAAGGGGGGGCGTGGTCTTTGAAGTTCCCAGCTCTTGCCAGGTGCTGCTCTCTGGGGAGTGGAGACCGGGAAGCTTGGGAACCAGATACACGGTGCAGGTGCAGGCCGTCCAAGGGCTTGGGGACTGGAGCTGGCCTGGGGTACCTGTCGGGGACTTCCACCTCACTGCGCTGCCCATTACAGAATCCACACAGGCGACAGACCCTACAAGTGCCCACATCCTGGCTGCGAAAAGGCTTTCACTCAGCTCTCCAACCTCCAGGTGAGTGCACGCCTGGCTCTTGCCTGCTAGGTGCAAAGGGAGCAGAAGGGGGTGGGGCTGGGGAGCCCTGCCTGGCCCCTGAGCCCCTGCTGTGCCCCCCCCCCCCAGTCTCACCAGCGCCAGCACAACAAGGACAAGCCCTACAAGTGTCCCAACTGCTACCGGGCCTACTCGGATTCCGCCTCCCTGCAGATCCACCTCTCGGCCCACGCCATCAAGCACGCCAAGGCCTACTGCTGCAGCATGTGTGGGCGGGCCTACACCTCGGTGAGTGCCTGGGGTGCCTGGGGAGCCTCCTCCTCTTCAGATCTGTAGATTCTCCTCACTTTCCAGACAAGGAAACAGGCCCAGAGAGGGGAATGACTATCCGAGATCATGATGGGTGGCAGAGCCAGTTCTGTTTTTGGCTGCCCTAGGCCCTACTCCCGGCCACCTGGTGGCCTTCAGCCTACCTTTCCCGGGCGTGGTTTTCTCCAGGCCCCGGAACACTCCAGGCAGTATTGGGGGCGCCAGGCACCCGGCTCTCTGCTCTTGAGAGCCAGGGAGCGGGAAGGGCCTTCTCCACTGGAGAAGTTGCAGGCCCCATCGTGGCCTCTAGGGGGCACAGTGACTCGGCCCAGAGACGCCTCGTCTCTAGAAAGGCCTGAAGGGTACAGGGTCTTTTCATCCAGCGCCCTGTCCCTGGGTGGGAAGGCTCCCTAAGGAAAGAGGTGCTTCGGCACCCGCCAGAGGGAGTCTGGCAAGTCGCTTGGGTGCCTGTGTTCAGCTAATGAAGTATTCTGGTCCACAGAGCCCACGTAAACCCAGACAGAGCTCACTGGGCCTCCTCTTCCCTATCTGTAACACAGAGGAGGTTGTAGTTCTCACCTCACTGGGCTGTTGGCCAGCACAGTGCCTAACAAACGTCTGCTAACACAGCTGTTTATTCACTTGGTGTTTACGGAACACTTGTGCCAGGCATTGGGGCATCACGATGAATCAAACACACATATTCTTTGCCCCCAGGGAGGTTGGAGTCTATGGCTGGAGACAGATATTAAACAAGTAACTACCCAAATAAACAGGGAATGACAAGTTGTGGTAACTGCTCTAAGCCGGGTTTGTCACCCTCAGTGCTTGGTAACATTTGGGCCAGGGCCCTCTTCATTGGGGGTGGGGAGCTGTCAGGTACATTGTAGGATGTTAGCACCAGCCTTGGCCTCTGCTCACCAGCAACCCCCTCCTCAAGCTCTGACAACCCCAAATGCCTCCAGATGCTGCCAAATGTCCTGGGGCAGGGGGTGGCTCTCCTCAGACCAAGAACCACTGGTCTGAAGGAAACGTAGATTGATAAAGCAGCAGGGAGGCTGGAATGGATTTGGGAAAGGGGAGCAGGTCTGGGTAGGCCAACTGAGGGGGCCAGTGAAGCCTTGAAGGGTAAGGAGGGCGAGAACCTTCCAAGCAGGGCACTGGTGAATGCAGACACCCTGAGGTGGAACAAACATGGCGTGTCCCAGGAACTAAAAGAAAATTAGGTCACACAGGGCTGGGGGGCCCTGTTAGGGAGTTTGGATATTTGCCAGGTGGAATGGGAAGCCATGGGGGGTGGGGAGGGGACTGTCTGGAGGGTACTTTTGAAAGGTCATTGACTGGAGGGGGCACATGTGAGGTGGTCAGCAGTATGTCAGGTGCCAGCCAGGCCTACGTCACACTGCTCCTTCCCTGGAGTTCACAGGGCAGAGAAGAGATGAAAGAAGGCAGAACCTGGGGATCCCTGGGTGGCGCAGCGGTTTAGCGCCTGCCTTTGGCCCAGGGCGCGATCCTGGAGACCCGGGATCGATTCCCACATCAGGCTCCCGGTGCATGGAGCCTGCTTCTCCCTCTGCCTATGTCTCTGCCTCTCTCTCTCTCTCTCTATCATAAATAAATAAAAATTAAAAAAAAAAAAGAAGGCAGAACCTGTAGGGAAGGGCCCCCAGGGGCGAGGTGGGGCACCCCAGACGGAGGAGCCCCACTCAGCTGGCTGACCTTCGCCCCGACATTCGCCTCCTCACACCTGCTCCCAGGGAAGGGGCTACCAGAGTTGTGGCTGCAGTTCTAGATGGAGTCTATTTGAACTCTGGGGGCAGGAGGAGTCTCAGCTCACCTGGCCTGCAGCCCCACCCTAACTGAACTCCTTAGAACAAGAATAATGACCTTTATTTTTAATATATTTTTGTTTGTAATTAAATTAAGCTGGCATACCTTTTTTAAAAAGTAGGCTCCATGCCCAGTATGGGGCTTGAACCCACAACCCTGAGATCAAGAGTCACATGCTCCACCAACTGATTCAGCCAGGCACCCCAACATACCTTTTATAAAAAACCAAAAAAGTTTAATGGATTGAATTTTAAACTACCTTATACATAAAAGAAACATTTTAGAATAGTGAACACTCTGTTTCCATTAGCCTCCAGAGCCATCAACTAATCTTGCCTCATCCATATCCTTATTTTTGGAAGTAAAATAGACATTATATTATTCCATCTGAGAATGTTCACTGTGACACTCAGCAAAAGGACTCCTCTTTTTGAACATATCCACGATATCTTTACCATTCGCCACTGGGTATCGTCAAATACCCAGTCAGTGTTCACATTTTTGTCTCCTGAAGGCCAGAATTTTATTTCCTTACAATTTGATTTTGTAATCATGATCCAAATAAGCTCCCTACACTGCATCCAATCAGTATGTTTTTAAATCTGTTGATCCCCCCCACCCTGTCTTCCCCACCCCCACCCTCCCCAGCCTGGGCCTTTTTTATCTCTGCAATGTGTTCATTGACAATGGTTTCCTAGTGTGGACGTGGCGGATTGCTTCCCTCTGGTGGTGGTTCATAGCATGTTGCCACCACATCTGAGGGCTTGCTCTACCACTTTCTGAACAAGGTGATGTTTGAGGCTGGAGGGTGAGTGCTGGCTCACCAAGTGCTCCACCTCCTCCCACTGAGTGTGAGGGCCTCTGGGCCTGCAGGTGAGCCTTGAGGTCACCTCACCCACCCACCTGGGGGTGCCTCAGGTCAGACTTAGCAGAACCTGTGGGGGCACTCAAGGGGCGAGCCGAACATGCCCAGTTTTATGCTTCTGCAAGTCACCAGTGCTATCAGGTCCAGCTTCTTCCCCAGGGAGGGTCGAGTGGGGTGGGGATTGGAGGTGGCTGCAGTGGCCAGGGCTCCCACCGCCACCTGGAAGGCAGTGTAGAGACCAAAGAAAATGTAGTCCCCTTAACCCATACTGCATGCTGGGAGCTCTGTCCACTCTAGCAACCCTCTGAGGTTGGGTCTTCAAGAGGAGAAAACAGGGTTGGGACATATGAGATGATGTGTCTGAGGTTCCACTGCTAGGAAATGGCAAAACCCAGCTCAGACCCAGGCCTCCTGCTCCTCCCACACTGGAGCACCAGCCAGATGGGGGCAGCTATGCGTGATCCCCATGGCAGGCTGAGGTTTGGCCAGCATACCCCGCTATAGCCTGTTGGCCTGGGCCTAGGGAAGTCCAGGTAGGTGCTGCCGAGGGACAAGCCGGTGCCTGCCAGCTCTCCGGCTGGCATGCTGTGGGCCCAGAGATTGGTAAGTGAACAGCATTCACCCCTGGCAGCGATGCAGCATCACCAGACCTAATGCCCATTGCCCTCTGATGCCCTAGAGCCAGGGCTGCTCCCCATTAGCTGGCCCACCTACCAAGGAGCCCTCCAGTGGCCACTTGTGGGAACTGCAGCCCCCCCCTGCACCCGGCATCTCTTGCCAGTGGTTGGTTGGTTGGTTGGTTACGTGTTCTGAATCTTACCCCTGCCCGCAGGAGACCTACCTGATGAAGCACATGTCCAAACATACAGTGGTGGAGCACCTGGTGAGCCACCACTCGCCCCAGAGGACGGAGTCCCCCGGCATCCCGGTGCGAATTTCCCTCATCTGAGCCGACCCAAGGCGCCGCCCCACCCTGCCCACTGGCAGACACAGACCCAGGCAGCACCAGGCCCCAACTTCCTCCAGGGGCCCTCCAGGAACAGCCGAGCTCTCTCATGACCTTCCTGACCTTCCAGAAAGCCTGGGCTGCAGAAGCCCTGTCCGGTCCAGCTCCGGGGGCGGCCAGGCCAACTGCAAGATTCTGGACTGTTTTGGTGGCATCCAAAGACGATCTCAGAGCACTTTGAACCTCTCTGTTGGGTTTCTTTTTGTTCCCCACCCTCCACTTGCTTCACTGTTTTTTTTTTTTTAAGTTTGTTTTGGAAATAACAGAAAAGATATTTATTGGCCAAGAAGTTGGTGCTGCTAAGACCGAGAAATTAAAAGAATCGGACAGATGGACACAGAGAACAGAGGGCAGCGTGGGACCTTCTCTTGCCACAGCCTCAGGTCTTGAGGGAAGGCTCAGGCCTGGGTTTCTGGACTGCAAAGGGGACCCCCAGGTGGGAGGGGACAGAAGGCAGCTGGAGTGAGCCACTCACCCCTAGGTGTCCAGCTCACACCTCTCGAGCTACGCCCTGGGCATTACTGAGCAGAGGGATGCGGCAGCTACCAGGGCTGTCGAGGCTTCAGGAGGCAAAATGGGAGAGGGGCTGAGAGATCCGCAGGACCAAAGGGTGCAGCGTTGGGCTGGGCTGGGCGCAGGCCCAGGGAAATGGGGTGAGGGTGGGCTGGGTAAGACCTGGCCCTCCACTGCCCTGAAGACCACCCCAGTCTACCTCGGTGCTGGCCAGGAAACCTATTGGCTACCTCTCCCACCATCCCAGACTGTGGGCAGCGGGGGTGGGGAGGGAGTGGGCCTGGGCTTAGGACCCCTCCCCTCCAGAATTTCCTCCAGATGGGGCAGTGCCCAGGGAGGGGTTTTGTCTTCCCTGTCATGGAGGGGGAACCCCCAGTCCAGGCCCTAGGCCCCTCAGCAGGGAAGGGATCCTCGGGGAGAGGTCCCAGGAGCAGACCCTGCCCTCAGCCCCCCACAGACACACCCCAATCTGAAAGCCATGCGTGTCCGTGTATATAGGAACTATGTACAGAGCCCGGAGAAGCCCCCCTTCATCCCCCGGGAAAAAAAAAAAAAAAGAAAACTAGACAGAAACTCATCTATATATTCTGTATCTGGAGTTCCGTTTTGAATATTAACTGTGTTATTTTTATACACTTTTTAAGCCTTAACTCGCCATTGATTTACCAGTTTAACGTTTCCTGGGGTATTTTTTTCCCATGGGGTTCTCTGCCCCTACCCCCGCCCCTTTGTTTGACTTGCGTCGTCTGATAACTCAGTATTGTAGCTTTTTGTCCGCATGTTACTACCCTGTAAATACGCTGTTCTACATACTGTTAACACCCCATTTGCTTTTTTCTATGGGACCTCCAGGCCACCATATTTAGAACTAGTTACCTTATTAAAAAAGAGAAAACAGTCTGTTGGCTTCTCAGTCTGCATCTTGGTGGCAGGGAGGTGAGGGCAGGTGCCCCTCAATGCTTCAGGAAACAAGTTTGCATTAGATTAAGAAAAGGGGTGGGGAGCAACATAAACTCGAATGTGGGGGAAGACACTAAATGGGGCAAGAAACAAAGGAATTCCAAACCCTCTGCTCTTTGTATTTCTCTGTTGTGAAGAATAAACTGTACCCGCACCTGGGTGGCGGCGGTGTGTGGCGTGCTCTGTGCGAGGGCGGGGCTGGGGGGCACCTTTCCATGCTCCTCTCCCCTCCCCCGCCCCCCAGACCTGGGGACCAAGGGAAATGGCCTTGTACTGTGGGCTGGCCTCACCCCAGCTGCTGAGCCGAGTGCTTGGTGTTGGTCACCCTACAGCCCCCTAGGAGGGGGCAGCCAACCACGAGGGATTTTTTTTTTTTTTTTTTTTTTTTTTTTTGCTGGGGATCATGGCGGAATCAAGTGGCAGGTACACAAACTTCACCCAGTCTTGTCTCATGCTGAATGAAGCCTTGGGGGATGTATGGGGTCCACCAGTGAGGTTCACAGCCCCCGCTCCCAGAGGGGCAGCCACATGCCTATCTTGCCTGTCTCCAGGGTCCATTATGAGTGCCCTGACTTGTGGAAGCAATTCCAGGGACTGAGGGAGCCAAGAAGTCCCCCTTCACATACATTCTCCCCATGTGGGTCAATGTTTTGACTGCCTGAGGGGGAAATGCAGGAATTAATTCCCCCAAGGTTTATCAAGGCTGGTCCTTTGCTGGGGGCATCCTTAGAGAGCCAGAAGTGATTCTACCAAGAGTCACCCCGGAGCTCACCTTCGGGAATTCACTCTGAGCCCTCCCAGGCCTTGTGTGGCAAGGCTTGGCTGCGGGTGACGAAGAGCCCAATCCATCCACCGTACAGGATGGTGCAGGTGCAGGGGTCAGGCCAGCCTCAGGGCTCAGAGGGGTCTCCAGCTCGCCTCTTGGCTTTGTTCTCGGAGTCGCTTCCATCCTCGGGCTCCTGTGCGGTCAGCAGCTCCGGCCTCACAGGTCCCAGATTTCCAGCAGTCAAGCCTTTGTCTCTCTCCCAGAAGCCCCAGGTAGTCTAATCGGGTCTTCTGGTTGGGACTGGGTTAGGTACCATCCCCGAGCCAATCACTGTGACTACAAAGTCTGTACGTGATCAGCTCAGACCTGGAGCCCGCGCTCCAAGCCGGGAGCAGAGGGTGAAACCCCAATCTGCAGTACATCTCCCCAAAAGGAAACCAGACGTGCTCACATCGGCAGGGGGAAAGGGTGTGGAGTAGCCAGGATCACAACTTGGGTAATTTCACAGGCCTCACTGCCGTCTCTGATACTGACCTCCCCTAGCCGGCGGCGCCGGGAAAGAGCGGGCTCCGGCAGCCATGTTTGCGTCACATGACCCGACCCCAGCCACACCTGATTGGCCAGCAGTGGACACGTGACTGCGCCTGCGGCGCTGAGACCAGTCGTGGCAATGGCGCCAGTGCAGTGTCCAGGCCATCCTGGTTGGGGGTGCACGATGCGCGCCTCTTCCCAGCTCCACATTCAGTGAATGTTGTCGTTTGACATCAGCCGTGCTGGGGTTTCTACAACACAAACTCGGGAGGGCTACAAATGGGGGCTTGCTTTCTCCTGGAAGAGCCAGTTGCAGGACAGCACTAGCTGACTCTCCAACCAGCTTCGCCAGCCCACGGATTAGGAATAAGTTAGGAGAAGGTGGGCTCCTGAACTGGAAGACCCTTTAAGTTGCCGGTGGTGTGACATTGAGCGACTTATGTAACCTCTCTATGCCTGATTTTCTTTTATGTAAAATGAGGGCAATAATAGTAACCAATTTGTAAGGTGGATGTGAAGATTCAATGAGTCAATATATGTCTAATGCTTAGAACATTATGTGCCCAGTAGGTATTAAGTACCAGTAAATGTAATTGTGACTATTACTATTTGACATGGCCCTGGTCAACCTAAGACCCTTATGACCGACAGCTGGTGAAGTTTGGCAGTTTCTGGGGGTGGCATCTGAGCTGGCCTGGCAGGGTGGGCAGCAGGGGCAGGTGAACATTTTACATGTGGCAGTGATACTCTGAGGACTGGGAGTCCAGTTTTCACCTGCTTGCCTGGAAGTTCTCAGGAGCTTTGATTGCCCCTGAGGGTACCAGCATAGGTGTGCCAGCCCCAAGTTATCAAGCAAAAACCTGTTCTTAGGCACACCTAGCCAGTTCTTATCTCTAATCTAGAGTCCAAATGGCCTTCTGAGGTTTGCTAATCTAGTTAGGGCAGGAGGTACTGGGGAACTTCAAACTGTTTTTGAGAGCAGATCTCAATAAGTAGAATTTGCTTGTAAAGATGATCAGATTCTAACAGTGTTGATTGACAGTGACACTGTTGGAAGTGTCGACAGAAAAAGCTTATCCCTGCTTGTTATTCCCTCTAATGCACCACACATACACACCGAGGGCCTCTGGGTAAGACAAAGGAGGGAGACACTCCCAAGAAGTCATCTGTTCCATTCCACAGCTTCCTTGACCCTTCCCCCTCCTCAGGAAGGTCTCCACCCACAGTGTGGAGCTGCCCCAGCCTAGCACCTGGAAACCACTGACTGTGCCATCATTTCCTCTTTAAGACAGAAATGGCTGTTCTTTTTGGCAAAACCTTTGCACTCCATGAACTTGCTGGAGAAGGGGCAAGCAAGGAGAGGGAGAAGGCAAGTCACATTTTCTGGAGCACCCCAACCTCCGCAAGGAGGTTGATGGGCATCCCTACTTTACATACGAGAAACGACAGTCAGCAAAAGTAAGGGATTTGGCCAGAGTCACTCGCGGAGTTAGAAGAGGAACAGATTCCCACCCAGATCTTATTAGCTCAAGCTCAGGTCTCTCATGGCCCCGGGTGATGAAGGTTGGTGTGGGTAGCTCTTGGTGAATATTGCAGGGTAAGGTGGAGAACAATTTCCCACCAGAGGAAGGGATGTGCCAGCCCCAAATCATCAAGCAATAATCTGTTCTTAGGCCCATCTAGCCTGTTCTTACCTCTAATCCAGAGTCCAAATGGCCTTCTAAGGTTTGCTAAATCTAGTTTGGGCAGGAGGCGCTGGGGAACTTCAAACTGTTTTTGAGAGTAGAGAGATCTCTTATTTCACATCATCAATAAGTAGAATAAGTACAATGATCAGATTGTAAAAAGCATCAGGGTTGATTTATGCCAGAATTGCTGTCTTTTGAAGGAACTGTGGAGGCTATTAAAAACGCAAGGACTGTGAGAACACTACACAAAGGATTCAGGGGACCTGGGGTGAAACCCCACTCTCCCAAGGCCTCAGCAGTCCCAACTGTCAAGAGGACAGCCCAGGGGCTTCTAGCTGCTGCCTGCTGTCTCGTTGGCACTGTGACCGCCATTCATGGAGGGCCTGATGATTTCCCTCCTGTTCAGAGCCTGTGTTTATCCCCACTTGATGAAGACTCTGGATAGCAGCCACAGGTAAGGAAACTTACCTCCCAGACAGCCCTAAGAGACCCACGTCAAGGACATGTCCTATTTGTGGACATTGCCTGGGAGAAAGGGCCACAGGGACACTTTTGGAATAATTTTATTACAATATTACTTAAATATCGACAAACTATGCTTGAGGGTCGAGGGAGATGGAAGGGCAAAAGCCAAGGACCACCAAGTTTCTCCTGCAGCAGAGGCATTCTCCTGTTTGCCCAGAAGCTACTCTGTTTTCAGAGTTCGAAGGCCAGCCCTGGCTCTGCTGCTGCTGCCCACACCGACTCGTAGATTCTCTGTGTCCTTGGGTAGTTATGTTTCCTTTTGTGCCTCAGTCTCCTTACTAAGAAGGGGTGGCGGTGGGTGATGGGGGTTAAAACAGCTCTTCAGGAGGCATCGGCCGAATCCAGGAGGGCCAGAGCTGTGAAAAGGTCTATCAGCAGCCTGGCAGAGGCGCCCCGCCCTCCTGCTACATCGGTCGCTGCTGACGGGGGATCTTTCCCTCCCGGCGAGAGGGGCCCCAAAGGCACAGGCCACAACGTTAGAGCCACTTCCGTCCAAGCTCTGGCTGGGGCGGCAGGAGCCCCAGCAGGGCCTAGTCGCGCACCAGGGCGTACTCCTTGGGCGCCCACAGCAGGCGCGGCCGACGGATCTCGGCCCGCCAGCCGATGTCGGGGCTCCAGCAGAACTCGGGGGACAGCACCTTGGCGGGCTTGTGCAACCAGAAGAACTTGTTGAGGTGGCTCTCGTCGTGCCAGCGCGCCTCCAGGCCGCGCTCGCGGTCCCGCTGCAGGGCCCGCGCGCAGTGCTCCGTCAGCCCGCGCAGCGCCGCCACGCTGCCCCCGAACACCGCCGCGTGGTAGTAGAAGTCGCCCTCGCCCGGCGCCACCGCGGCGGCCGAGCGCGCGTCCCGCTCGTAGGGCAGCAGCCACCGCGGCCTGTGGTAGTGCCAGGCGTGCAGCTGCGCCACCGACTCGGCCAGCGCCTCGGGCCCGAAGGAGCTGCGGAAGTGCTGGTCCACGTCCATGCAGAACACGAAGTGCGCCTCGCGGCCCAGCCGGCCGTGCAGCGCCTCGTGCAGCGTGCGCATGCGCTGCATGGACACGTCCTGCCAGCGCCGCTCGCGGGCCACGCGCTCCACGCGCAGCCCGCGGCCCGGGCCCAGCGCCACGCGGGGCACGGCGGCCGGGAGCTCGGTGAACACGTAGTACACCACGCGCTGGCCCACCATGAAGTGCTGCTCCGCCGTCTCCAGGAAGCGCGCCAGGTACTTCTCCAGGTACCTGCGGGGGGGCGGGGGGGTCAGCCCGAGAGGCGCGGCGGCCATCCCCCCCCCCCCCCGCCCCCGCGGCCCCGCCACCTGCCTGGATCAACGCGGGGCCGCGGCACAGAGGCTGTGCTGGCCCTTGGGACGAGCGGCGGCCTTAGTCTGTGCCTCCTTCGGGCCTGGAGCCTTCGCTTGTGAACCCCCAGGCCCTTGATGCCGCAGGGCGGTGAGGAAGCCCAGGTGTGGGGGGGAAGGGCTGTGTGGGGACAGCAGTCGGCCATCCCGGGAGGCCCAGGCCCTGGGAGCCAGCGGCAAGGAGCCCTTCCTGCGGAGCCCCGTGGGAAATCCGCCTCCAGAACCATGAGCTGTGCTGACAGCCGTTGTTTTCGGGCACTGAGCTTGTGGCAGCTCCCTACAGAGATCATTAAGGGCAGGCCCTGGGGGACTCCCTGCGACTGGGATCTTAAGGGATCCCTGGCATCATAAGGGCTGCCCTGGGGGCAGCACCGTAGTGCTGGTGTCCAGGGTGGAGGGAAAGGGAAAGGACCGTCCTGCCCTCTCACTGGGAGTCTAGGATGAGAGGTGCTCCATTCGACTCCCTCTTCACTTTGGGATCTTGTGGCCCACAGGGTGCCCCGCCCTTAGGTCACATGCCCACCCATTCCATTCCCTGCAGGCCTTACCTGCCTACAGCAAAGACAGTCAAACCAATGGTGAGGTTCTGCTGTAGAGCCTCTTGCTGGGCCACAGCTGGGTCGAAGGTGCCATCCCAAATAATGGGAGCCCCCCAGGAGGTACAGGTCAGAACATCAGGCCGGGCCCTGGCCAGGGCAGGTATGGAGAGAGAGGTCCATTCATTCATCCACCCATTTGGTGCATGTGCACTGCCACCTCCCCAGTGCTGGGCCCTCGGGACCCACAAATGGGTGTGACCCAGCCCCTACCCCTAGAGATCCCTAGCCTAGATCCAGTACAAAAGATTGGGAGATTTGTGACCTAATGGGGCCACTGGAAGGAGTACCTGGCCCTGCTGGGGTGAGGGATGTGAGGAGGGCAGGGACGCTGGGGCAGAGCTCTGGAGGGTATGTCAGTGTTAGCGTCTTACCAGAGACGCAGGAGACCCGTGAAGTTGTCTCTCAGCATGGCCATTCTGGCAGAAGGGCAGACACCCATGGGGATGAGGACTTCCAGATGCCTGTGGGGGTGGGGGCAGCAGTGAGGGAGGGGCATGACAGCCAGCTGAGGGGGCAGGGAGGGGGAAGCTTCTCACTTTGTTCTTTACAAGGAGGGAGAACCCATAAGGACAAGTGTGAGGCCAAGATAGCCACACACACCCCACTCTCCCCCCTCCCCCAGCACCCGGAAGGAGCTGCTTTAACCCTCACCCTGCTGGTTCCCATACTCTGTGCTGGGGGAAGGGGGTAGTACCTGACTATAGGGAGCCCATACAGGAGCAGCCCTGAGAGGCCAAACCCAAGTAGGATCAGCTGCCAGAAGATTCTCTTCCAGGTCCTAGGTGGTGGGGAAGGGCATTAGCAACTCATTTATATCCAGACATACACATGAGAAATTGATTATGTAACTTCAATGTTTCGTGTTATTGATTTTTATTTTTTTATTTTTTATTTATTTATTTTTTGTGTTATTGATTTTTAAATACAAATCTATCCTATTCACGTGGTACAGGCATTCAAAAGTACAAAGCAGTCTGTATAGTGCAGTCTTTCCAGGTCCCAGCCATTCAGTTGCTCTGCATGGAGGCAGATCGAAATATGGTAGCAATTCCTTTCTCCCCCTTTCCCTCCCCCGACTCAAGGGGAGCACAGTAGATAGGCTCCTCTGCATCTTGCATTTTCCACCTCCACGGACCCTTGTCTTTGAGGTTATTCCCTCTCCGTACTGGGAGTGCTTGCTATCCCTTTTTCCCAGCTTCCCAATATGCCATTGATTGCGTTAAGCTAAGCAATTAGAGCAGGGCCTCACACATAGTACTGGCTCAGTACACTCTGGACTGTTGCTACTGTTATTCCTGAGCAGACCCTCCTGATCCCCTGGACAACCTCCCAACTCCACTCTCTGCCCTACACATCCTTCCCAAGTCTGGGCCCCCCGTAGTCTCTTTCAAGAAGCCTGCCAGATCAGACATTCCTGCTCCCTGGCCTTTTCTGCCACCCCCACTTGACTGTTCCTCAGCAGATGTATCTAGTAGATAGCTCGGAGAAGCATCTCCTAGTCGTGTGTGCACACCCATATTCACCTGCACCAGCATCTCAGCACATGGTACCTTCTGTTCAGTTGGACATGTCTGAAACCCCTCCCTCTCCCTCACCCGTTTGCCGTCAGTCCCAGGGTAGGGTTGACACGGCCTCCTTGATGTCCCCCACTCAGCTCCTGCTGTACCCCCATCTCCCATGGCAACTGCCTGTGCATCCCTCACCAGGATCATTGTGGCATCAACTTCCCTGCTGCCAGCCACTTCCAACAGCCCCCAAAGCCATGCTGTAAAGTGCCTGCTTGCCTCAACAGTGTCCATATCACATGACCAATCATCCAAGAAGAAATGCATTTAGGAAGCAAATGTATGCGGAAATGTTCAACCTCATCAGTAACCAAAGACATACAAATTAGAACAAGCTGGCATGTTTTACCTGTAAAATGAGCTTTTAAAAAAGAAATAAAAACAGCCACGCAGCAAGGATACAATGAGGTAGACACTCTTAAACTGCTGGTGGGGGTGAAGTTTGCTAGATCTTTTGTGGAAAGCTATGGTCATCAAAGCCTTCACTGTTCATCTCTTTTAATCCAATCAGCCCAACTTCCAGGAGCCTGTTCAGAAATCACCTGTATGGGAAAAGTTTATACATCAAGATGTTCACGAGTTTCTGCTTATTCATGCATTCACCCTCTATTTACTGGGCATGAGCTCAGAATCATGCACTTGCTAGGTCAGGGATTCAGAGGTGAGCGAGGCACAGACCTCTCTCCAGGGAATGGAGTCAGGAAGATGTGGGTGGCCAGAAAGAGAGAGAATGGGTTGGATGACAGACCGTGAAGAGATGAATGGAGCGCAGCACAGTGAAGGCTGGAATTAGTATAAATGCAAGATGCTGTGAGGGTGAATTGGAGGGTAGCAACTGAGCCTTGACTAATGGGGAGGAAGTCAGGGAGGCTTCCTGGAAGAGGTGACCTCTAATAATTAGAAGTTACCCAGGCAAAGAAGGCAGCAGAGCAGGGAGGAAGGTCTATGAGAAGAAAACAACAATGTACAAAAGTGAGAGGTGAGAGAAAGCTTGGGATGTGCATGGCACTGCAGGGTGGAGTGCAGGTGGGGAGTGGGGAGAGGAGAGGCTGGAGGTAAGCCAAGGCCAGATCACACCCTGCCTGCATTCCAGGCTAAGGGGTTTGGGCTTCATATTGAGGACCATAGGGAGCCCTGAAAGATACTTTCTCCAGGGGATGATGCAGTCAGATTTTTATTTGGGAAAAAAAAAATTCCAGCCGAACTGTTGAGCCTGGACACTGGGAGTAGGGGAGCATGTCTGGAGGCAGAAAGGCAGGTTCTAGGCCCCTGCCAGCCCTCAGGGTCTAGTGGCAGTGGCGTGAGACACCCGGAAGTGGGGTGGGGAGGAGTAGGTGGTGAAGGACTGTTAAGGCAGCGGGCTGGGCAAGACTGGGTTAAAGGGCCAGGGCCAGGGGGCTGGGAAAGGAGACAGTGCCAGACTGGTGGGGTGGGAGGAGTAACTGGAGATGCAGTGGTGGAGGCAGGGGCCCCGGATGACTCTCCAGAAGTATGGCTGTAAAAAAGGAAGGAGGGGGATCCCTGGGTGACTCAGCAGTTTGGCACCTGCCTTCTGCCCAGGGCATGATCCTGGAGTTTCGGGATCGAGTCCTACATCAGGCTTCCTGCATGGAGCCTGCTTCTCCCTCTGCCTGTGTCTCTGTTTCTGTCTGTCTGTCTCTCTCTCTGTGTGTCTCTCATGAATAAATAAATAAAATCTTTAAAAAGAAAAAAAAAAGGAAGGAGGATGGTAACTGGAGGGGGCCAAGGGGCTGGGATTGGTGGAGGGATGTGTGTTTCTTTCATGAGGGTCACTGGAACTTGGTTGGATCCCGACTGGGCACACCATGGAGAAGGCCCCATGTGGCCTGCTGGAAAGGCCCCGACAGCCAGCTCACAGACTGATGAAATAACCTTTTATCTGACAACCTGGAAAAATACTTACACAGGAAGCTTAAATTAAAAAAAAGAAAAAAAAAACCCAGCAGGCTCTAAAATTGATGGGCAGTATGATTATAATTTAGCAGGAATTAAAACATGTGCCAGAAAATAAGACTAAAGAGGAAAACCTAAGTGTCCTATGCAGTAAGTTATAGTAGGATTCTTTTTCCCTTTATTTTCCCCTTCCAGTTGTTTGTAATGTGCTTAGACTGCCTTTTTAATGAAGGAAAAGTACAGGGTTAGCAATTTAGAAAAACAACAAGGCATTTTAAGCCTTCCTACAGCCTGCAAGATCAAGTCTACACCTCTTAGCCCTGTCCCCGAAGCCTTAAGGATCTGGCTCTTTTGCTGTCACATGTGAAGTGCTCTCACCTGCCCGGCTATCCCACCTTGAGGAATGGAGACTCACAGTGGGCAGATCAAGGATGGTCTTGTACCTTTGTCTGAAATAGCAAATGGATGTCAGCAACCCCAGGGTTGACCAGTGAGGTATTGGATGAATGAGTTATGCACCCCTATACCACGGAAAGCAACGTGACCCCTAAAAAGGATCAGATGGATTAATATGTACTCTCCGGAAAAGAGGTCCTGAAGTGTTGAGTGGAAAAGGAAGTAATAGGAGTATATAGAGGCTGATCTCACTTCTATGAGGGGAAAGTCCCTACACCTACGAACCCGCGCGTTTACAGACGTGCTGTGATCTTTTATAAACCTGCAGGAGAAGATCTAGAACAGCACTGTCCAGAAGTATAATGTGAGCCACATATATAAATGGAAATTTTTTAGTAGTCACATAAAAAAAGTGAAAAGAAACAGCTGAAATTAATTTTAATAATATTTTAAGTTAACCCAATATATCCCAAATAAACCTTTCAACATATAATCAATATACAAATTACGGGGATATTTTATATCCTTGTTTTGTACCAAGTCTAAATACTAAATCCAGTGTGTATTTTAGATTTATAGCACATTTCAGTTGGAATTAGTCACATTTCAAGTGCTTGGTAGCCACATAAGGCTGGCGGCTACCAGGTTAGATGACAATTCAGAAGGAGTTGCACAGTGGATGGAGCTGAGATTGGACGAAGAGGGGATTTCTACATGATGTGCTTCTATCATGTTCCACCATACAATGTGGTGCTTTGGTTGTTATTAAACAACAGACCCCAAATGGAGTCACTCACACTAAGCCCCCTGTCAACAAACCAAACCAGTTAATACCTACCTGCCTGCAGTTTCCAACTTCTCCCAGAAATGTACCTTTAACCAGTCAGTTGGGAATTAACTGGTCAGCACTAGTGAGATTCTCTGGCTGATAGACCCCTGCCTTCTCCCAAAGGAAAGTAACTCTGCTTGAAACAGCCCACTTTTTGCTAGAAGCTTCCTTTCCCCATCCCCTCCTGCCTATAAAAGCCTTCCATTTTGTACATCTCCTCAGAGCTCCTTTCGATCTGCGGAGATGAGACCCTACCCAATTCATGAACCATTAAATAAAGCCAGGTAGATCTTTACATTTACTCAGCTGAATTTTTTTTTTAAACAGATTTGGTAGTACCGATAGGATCAAAGGAGGCTTCTGGTGGCTTTAGGGACAATGAGAAGCAGGTGTTCCGTGAACCCTTTGAATTCTCTTTCTCGCTGTTTCTGAGGGCCTTAGGTAAATTTGCCTTGGTTCTGAGCTCCACTGTCTGCATCAAGCTTCTGATCTAATTGGCTTTCCAGTCTGGGGCTGGTCAGCTTGAGCTGGCAGCAGGTTCCCCCATAACCCCAGCCCCTAGCCCTTGGTTTATAGTCTGATACCTCCTCTATTTGATTGGAACCCCCAACACTTCAGTTCTGTCCCCAGATTCCACACTGGGACCTGCTTTGGGCAGCTGCACTTCCTGCTCATTTGGACTCAGTCTGCAGTCCTCATTCTTCGGACTCTGTGATTCTGTTCCCCACCAGCTCCCGGCTTCTGCATAGGGACTGGCTGGTGGTGCACACAAGGGGCCTTCTAACTGCCCATCTACAGATTGCTGCTGGTGTCCACAGTCTCATTTCTTTGGTCATCCGTGATTTCTGTTAACATGTACATAGTAAAAGCTATTGCTAACGGGAATCTCAGAAGCCAACAAGCTGTAAGAATTGTTGGGCGTGGGCCAAGCATTTAAAAACTGTTAGGGCACTCGCCCTCTAACCTAAAAACTCATAAGTTGGGTGAGGCTAAGGTTAGATTCAGATTGACATTAGGCCACCTGCCAACCTCAAAATTTCAATGCAACAAGGTATACTGTAAAATATCACACAG